GATTCAGGGAAGCTCTACTGCACCATCTTCCCGCGCCCCGACAAGCTCAGTCGTTGGATCATCAGCCGCCCCATCTTCTGGAGCGTGGAGTTCTTCCGCGGGATCTGTAGCGCCCACGAGTATATCGAGCAGCCAAGCCGGTAGCACTTCGACTGCATGGTCATCGGTATCACCTATTACCTCTGTGTCCGCGTCTGGATCACTCGTCGCGCCTTCTGGCTCATCTTCTGTGGCTCAGTCAAGTGCTCAAGGCAGTTCGGCTGCACAATCGTCTGGAAGCGCAATCCCGAGCACTCGATTGACCTCAGTCCAAGGCAGCACTACTGCAGAAGGCATCATCATCATCCCCACTGGTATTTCTGGTAGCAGCACCTCGAGTGGCATGATCATCATCCCTCCTGGTTTCACGGGAAGCAGTACCTCGAGTGGCTCCATCGTCATTCCCACTAGGATTTCTGGTAGCAGCACCTCGAATGGCATCACCATCATCCCTCCGAGTGGAAGCAGCACCCCAAGCGGCTCCATCATCGTCCCTCCCGGTGTCTCGGGAAGCAGCACCCCAAGTGGCTCCATCATCGTCCCTCCCGGTGTCTCGGGAAGCAGCACCCCAAGTGGCTCCATCATCGTCCCTCCTGGTGTCTCGGGAAGCAGCACCTCGAATGGCATCACCATTGTCCCTCCGAGTGGAAGCAGCACCCCAAGCGGCTCCATCGTCGTCCCTCCTGGTGTCTCGGGTAGCAGTACCTCAAGTGGCTCCATTCCTGCTCCGATCGTGATTGGGACCAGCACTATGCCTCCCAGCGCGATACCTACAGGCGTAGGCTGTCCCGACTTGTGTCGTTCCCTCGAGTGGTGCCTAAAGTATTGTGTGGGCTATGTGTTCCCTCGCCCTCCCGATGAAGAACCACCGCACGAATGTCTTGAGCCAGCTAATAAGCCGTGGTGTTATCTATGGTGGTTTGGCCCGGATGACGACGGTGGTAAGGATGGTCACCCAGGCGATCCAGACTCTGTTACAGACAGCGACCCCGAGTGCAAAGAGGAGAACTGTATCGCTGCATGCGCCGCACAGAGACTCGCATCATTCTTGCTCTTCAAGCGGCCTTTTTGCCTTTGTGTCATACACAAATGTGACAAGGATCATGACAGCGACAGTCCTAGCGATAGCGACGATGACGATCCATCAGTCAAGCCGCCAAAGCCAAAGCCAACATCGTTTCCAAAACCTACGAACCCTAAATGTAAGCTTTTCGGATGTAAATGCGGGTGGATGGGACTGGGGTACGGGCCTGGCTGCCCTGAAGATGTCGTTCCGCCCATTTCGCTCACCATTCCATGTGGTATCTTCGGCTGTGACCCGTGCATCTTCTTCGGTTGTCATACCGGCCCGCGGCCTACGGGTATCATAGGCGCCGACGGATACTGTCCAGGTCCAACAGGGTGTGATCCGTGCCCGCCAGAACTTTGTAGCCTCCCAGGTTGTACCGTTCCGGGCGGTTGTGGGCCGAAGCCTGGCCCTGCGCCAACTAAACCGGCGGACCAACCAGACCCAGAAGATTGCGACGACAGCATGCGGACCACCATCACTGATCGCTTCGTCATGTGCACGGAGGGTTTTGACGTCTCGTCCATGCCTTCTAGCTATAGCTTCTTCGGCGGTGGTACATCATCCACGATGGTTACATCTGTATGTCTGCCGCTGATCGATGCCACGAGGACCATCTGCGAGCCGGCCAAAGGCTACGACACCACGACAACGCTGACTACTACCGGCACGCTAACTTCCGACGCCCCAGCATGTACCCGAGCACCGCTCTCTTTGGATGATGATGAGGGAAACAACAATCCCGATGAGCCATCAAACACGTGGACGTACTCTAGCATGGGTTCATCAACCTCGAAAAGCTCTTCTGAGGTGTCGTCTAGCAGTTCGTCGTCGTCCACCAGTTCTTCGTCGTCCACCACTTCGGCAGCACCAGCTCCTAGCCATACACCTATGTACAGGAACGGCCACTGGACAGTGGAATTTCAGCAATTCTTGTACGACGACTACGCGGAATTAGGATGGGACTTGTACGATCCCAATGGCTTCCACGCGGGTTTCCACAATGTACGCGGTCACAACAAGGACTCGAAAATCACCGACTACATCCAGAGCGTTAATCGTCCGTACGGTGATTCAATGCCTTTTGGAGTTGACGTGACCGTTTATGAACGTAAGTGAACTCTTTATCGCCTTATTAGACACGCGCTAACTTTTCCTAGCACACAATGGTGATATGGCCAAAGTCAATTTTGAGATCCGCAAGAAGGTCACCGGCTGCGATTCCATGCCGGGCATCCCATGCAGGCCTTACATGACAACAGAAAATCGCATCGAAAGTGACCCATGGAGGCTGCAGACTTGCGAGCAAGCTTGTAAGGATAACAAGAAGAATGCTCCTCTGGTTTCCAAAGACATGTGGTGCCAGGATCTCAACGCGGCAGATTGGCAACCCATGTATAAAGGGTTCACTGGATGGCAGCGCCATTTCAAGTGTGGTTGGAAGGGATTTGATTGAGCTTTCTATCCCCTGGAGGCTAATGGTAAAATGGTGTGAGTATTCATGACAGTGTATTATACTTGCGAGTATTCATGAGTGGCTCGTACCAAATTGAGAATTGTATTGTGGAAATGTGGGCAAGACTGTAACTATATAGATGGATGCCAGTCGTTTGTTCCAATCCTAGATGCCGTGTCGATATTTGGACTGGATGGCGTAAGCGTATCGAGCTTTTCATGTTTTTTCTCAGAAGTGACGTTGAGTCAAGGCACTTGCAGACTAGGTGCTTCTCTTCCATCGTCGGACTGATGCTGTATACCAGGTACGTATTTGTAGGCCCACACAATCCATGACATTTGGTCTGTAATGTCTATTGGAGCTGTTCAAAGTAACAGGCACATATGAACAAGATTCCGCCGAGACGCCTATTGTCTTGTCAGTATTGCGAGCCTCTGTAGATTGCGGGCATTTTGAGTGGCTCACTGCTCGATCTGCGCGAGTGTTGCTAATCATGGGCAGAACCAGAGTACCTCCTCCCGGGGCTCCACGGTCGCGTGTCTCGCTACCTGGACATCACTGCACACCTTAAAAGCCCTGCTGTACCCTGCCGAATGGGCTCAGCACCTCCTCCCTCTCAATACATTGCATCGAAACTCTTCAAAGCAGTATCGCAACGATGTCTCAAACTGTTAGCCAAGACGAAAAAGATAGCCTGGTCGATATCAGCGCCGCGGAAAAGGGCCTCGAATCTAGCAGTGGAACTCATACAAGAAAGTCCTCCACCACGACTTCTTATGGAGAGATGCGACAACTTCTTTACCGCCGATCTTGGGTACGTAATGATCCGGTCTACAGTGTGTATGATGCACTTGCTGACTCCACAACCCGGAATTCAGGCTTTATTGCAGGTGGTGGGAACACTCTTGAAGGGCCTTGCCATATTGCTCTTTGGGATCGTTCTCTTTATCCTTTCCCTTGCCGCTGCCAAGTTGGCTTTCCTTCTTATATTCGGCGCTATCAAGATGATCCTCTCGCTCTTGATCATGTTGATTGGGTTCATCGGCATCCCGATGCCGGCAGCTGTTGCTCAATGGGAGCCCTTTGGTTGGTTTTGAAGAGTCTGCGAGAAAGGCATCAAGTTGGATGCTAGCCTAGTCAAAACGTGGGCAGAAATTTGGATTTGATTTAAATCATGTAATGACACGCCACTCAGTTCCCCTCTCTCCTCTGCTTCTCATCTCCTTTGATGTTCTTCCGATCAACGTACTCCATGCCTGTCCCCGAATGCGTGTTGCTGCCACTGTTCGAATGTTCTTTCTGCGCCTCGTAGTCTTCCTGATCCTGTGCGGCCTTCTGGGGTGTTTTGGCAGATTTTTGCACACCGAAGATGTCTTCGCTGGTCTTTGAGGGGTCGTTGACCTGGTCTTGAGGGTATGGTGTCAGTGGAGAGGAATGACGTGGAAGGTGCGGGAGACATACTGGGCATGGTGATTTTTCCGGGACTGATGCTGTGGGGTTATGGTACCTTGGGCCTTCAGCAGGAGATTTGGGCGTACTGGTGCTCTTATGAACAGTGTGTAGACGTCATGAGAACGTCGGGTTGCGTCAACGTCAAGATGACGACGCGGAAGTCATCACCGAGCGTCCTGCATCATGCATCTGCGACACACTTGACATCAACGTTCAACAGCCGTCTTGAATCAAGCTGTTCGATTGTTCGTGACTACGTGTTTAGGCTTGCGCATCCTGTCGCGCGTTCCGACGCGTCAACCGAGGCGTCCCTGATCGACGAACTCCAACCCCGCTACCAGCCACCTCATCCCCGATGCCTCTCAACCTTTCTTCTCCTCGCCCTTGCCGCCGTCTTTCTTGTCCCCATCCTTCTTGGATGAATCGCCCTTGTCGCCCGATGCTTTGGGAGGAGGTGCGCTACCACCGCCGCCGGAGTTCATGAACTTGTCGTCGAGCTGGTCTGGAAGTTGTTAGCTACTGGAGCAAAGACCACTCAACATACAAGGCATACCAGACATGTTGCGATATGTGAAGAGAAGTTAAGGCGAGGATGAATTCCTTATGGAGGCCGACTTTGTAGAGATGTCGGAGAGGAGGAAGAGGTGACCAGACCTTAGGATGCGGTGTTCCAATACCTGTCTTGTGGTACAGCATGCGACATGACGTTTTTGCGCCTTTCCCCACATTCAATTACTTGGCTGAAGTCTAGATGCTGCATGATGCTAACCTGGCCGTTTACCCGTCTCTGAACTATATCGTAAGAGGTAACGTCACGAGAAAGCAGGAAGATGTTGATGAAATGCTGATTCTACGGACAGTAAGAGCCGAGATTAGCTATCGTACTGCAGGGTACTATCTACATCGAGCGTGAAGCTGCCGAACCCTTGCGCAAAGATTCTGGCGCTTTACAACCTTGAAGCCGAGAGAGTCCGCAAAAGCATCTACCTAATACCGACGGCCCCTACCACCACGCGTGTCTCGATCCCATCTACCGCCACCTCCGCCGCGATTTGGAAAGAAAGACGGGTTTCTGAAACTGTTGTTCTCGTACCACCAATGATCATCCCGCGAGACATGCAAATCTTCCGACTTCTCCACGTAGCGTTCCTCCTCTTGTCGCAAGAGGTAAAGTCGGCTCTGGCTCAGCGGCATGATTGAATAGCCAGCGGCAACACTGTCGGTTATTGTGCGCCGAAGGAACGAAGTGAACTGAGGCTGAGAAGGCAAATGCTTGAGACCCATCTTGGCCAAGAACTGCGGAAAGGCGTCGAACTGCTGGATCTCGCGAATGTCCTCGGCCATGCGCGTTGAGGTACCCGGCGGAGGAGCCCCATGGGCGTCAAACAACGAGTCGCGAAGCTCAACTAGGGTCTTACCGGGTGGACGGGCTGCTGCGCTGAACATCTTCAGGAACATCATGAGGCGGTATGAGGTGGGAGAGGCAGCGTATGTCTTGCTGGTACGGTATTCGGAGATCTTGGAGGGTTCCAGGTATGCCAGCTCGGCCATACCAGCACCCTTCTCATCAAGCATCCAGACGACGTTGCGAATGATGGCTTCTTCGATGATCTCATAAGTCAGGTCTTCGGTAAGGCCGTCGTCGCAGATGAGAGCCGCTATGAGAACGTGACCGAGATCGGGGAAGTTTGCCTTGCTGCGCGGACCGGCCATGAAGCGTCTGATCGTGTTGTTGGCGCTGTCAGTGATGTGAGAGTTTTCGATCGCCAGGCATAGCAGTAGGTGGAAGAGACCGAAATACGCGTCGACGGCCTTCTCTGACGCGTGACTCAAGGTGCTGCGTGCGTCAGGGCCGCTGTAGCTCTCCGCATCTGATGAGAACTGAACGACAACGGTGTTCATAGTATGATACAGGATATCCACATAGCAAGCTCCAGGGTTCGTGATGTTCGCAGTCCTGTGGATATCCAGCGTGCTCTCCATCACATGATCTCTAACTTGATTCCAGTGGCGTCGGCTCAGAGGTAGAGGTAGCCAGATATCGAACTTAACACCCTGAACGCTGCGTCGGATGTGGTGCTTGTAGAACGCCTCGTGACTCAACAGATCAAACTCTGTTCGGAAGACCGGCCGGTTACCGCCTGTCACGGCGATACCAATACCAAGCTTGGCGTCGAGGAATGATTCTTTGAGACAAAAGCATTGCAGCTCGCGAATGCGGATGAAGTCGTACGAGTTCATCGTGTTCTTGATGAAGGGAATGGCGTCGGCGAAGGCCAAAACGTCAACGGTCTTGGAATTGCTGAGGATCTCGAGAAGGATCTCATCTGGTAGCCTAAACAACCCCGAAGGGCCTCTCTGATGCTGGCTAGGGGCTGGGGCGAGAACATCCGGTGCAGGTGAGTCGACCTCCATTTCGGCAGCTGGTACTGGTAACGAGTCTTCTCCGAATCCACACAGAGAGCATTTGAAGCGATCTTCTCCCAACGTTTGAGCCTCTTGCTGCCGATACCAAGCCAGATTGATAGTGCTATTACCATGGTCTTGCTCTAGTGAATCACTAGAGAAGAAGCTCAGCAGCTGAATAGCGATACCCTTGAGGGTATACGCTGGCGTCCAGCCCTCATCGGTGTTCAGCATGGTGGCGCAAACATAGTCGCTGAAGACGTTTGGATGGATGATTGCGCTTTGGATTGTGACGTCGGGCGCCACCAGCGGATATCGGCCGGTGAAGCGGATCTTGAGGTGAAGTGGCTTCTGTCCTTCCGGAGTGAGAACAAGACACGCTCTTGTGATGTCGTTGTCCTGGAAGTGAATGCGGACGTTGGGATACGGATCTTGTTCGATCTCCGCGATGTCCTTGAGGAGGCGACGTCGCAGTGAGCGTGACTGAACCGTGTTAGCTTGGTACTGCGTCATGACGACGAGGTGCTGCAAGGTTGCGGTCGCGAGGTTCGGTTCCGTCAAGAGAATGACAAGAGACGTTAAGAGGAAAGAAACAGAGGTTATAGCGCGCATTCGAGTTGTCAGTTGCTGCAGGTGGTCCAGGCTGAGTCATGCACGTGACTAGGCAGCACAACAAACAAACGGAAGTGTGGGTCTTGACGCCCTTTCAGATTGATGGACAGCTATCAAACCTGTCTGATACCGCATTGAAGGGATCGCATGACCAGTCTTCTGCTCCCAAAGCATCTACTGAATGGCTTTGCGCGGACAGGCAAAGGGGACCTGAGTTAGCTATGTCCAAGACTAGTGGCTTTGAGTTTACCACGACGCAACGTTATCCCCACGGCCTACAAGTCATCTCTGGTGTCATTGTGTCATTGGGAAGTCTGTTTGAATGATACATCTCAGTGCGCCTCAAGTGGTCCAGAAAAGGGCGTCAAGGTAGCCAGCTAGGGATGGCTTGGTAAGGTTGAGTAGTGCGACTTTGGGCTAGGCCACTGGGTGAATAAAGTCTCATATTATCACAACGTGTCGCATGTATTTGGTCTGCATGATGGACTGAGATGAGGAGGATCGCTGGAGGAATTTAAGGAAGTCATATGGCTGGCTGGGGTCATGTCATCAGTGATGTCTACACTTAGGGCTCGTGAGGACTTACTATGTAAGAGGATAACGATGTAGAAAGAAGACTATAAATACATCATCTGGATGAGTTGGAGTGCGTCCTGGCACGTAGAAGTTGTGTTCGGGGCCAAATGGATAAATACGGGGAACCAAATTAAAGCTGAACCCTCGTGCAACAAGAGGCAACGCGTACCGCCTGAGTATGGAAAGCTATGCGAGCAACGCGAGGATGAAACCAGCAAGGAACATATCTATTGGACGAATTTGTCGAATCTGCATCTATTGCGGACTACAGAAATAGAGAAAGTGAGGGAAGAGATGCGGACCCCATAATAGTTCTTGCAGTGTGCGACTGGGATGACACGACGAATGCGAGCACCTGCAGATATGAAAGAGGGGGGGAGATCGCAATTTGGGCTATAAAGAGCCGTTCGCAGTCGTCTATGTCCTTCCTTCGATCAATCCAATCTTGTTCGCATATTCTCCTGCCAACGATCGAAATCAGCACATCATGAAGCTCACAGCCGTTGTTATCGCTCTTCTCTCATCGGTCGCTTTGGCCGCTCCTGCGGCCGAGATGGACAAGCGCGCCGTCGTTGACGCAACTGTCGCCGTCGACGGGCTGCGCTATCGAACGTGCCCGAAGACGACCTGCTCGGCTCCGGGTCAATATCCCAAGGGTACCAAAATCAAATTAAGCTGCTACACCACGTCTGGTACTACTGAGGTGAATGGAGACAAGTAAGTCATGACGTGACATGGGAAGAACTTTTGTGCTGACATGAGTGAAGGCGCTGGGCCAAGGTCTCCGGAGGTGTTGGTAATGGCCGATGGGTATCGTTGGCGTATATGGATTGGCCTGGTGCGCTCAACCCGTGGTCAATTCTCTGCGGGAATACTGTACTGATCCGAAATAGGAACGATTAGCGGTTGCTGATGTTGCGTGCTGCAAACGGAGGTAGTACGGCTACGATGCGCTTCTCGCTCACTCGGTTTCGCGACCACCTTCGCGATAAGTTTGCTGATATTTGGTGGATAACGCAGTCGCTAGCTATGGTTCAGAATATGCGTTCTAAACCAACACTCCAGCTTTTCCCCAAGTGACTTGTGCGTCGGATGATGATCGTGCCACGAGCTTGTGACCAGTGATTGCTACATTCTTCCACTTCAGACTTGTGCAATTGATGGTGCCCTTGAACTTGCGACAATCGTTGCCAGAGAAGACAATGTACCCCAAATCTGTCTCGTTATGTGCGGGTGCCTTGGAGGCATTGTGGCTGGAGTCTGTAGGGCTGCCGCTCCATCGCAACCAGAACTTTGGTGAGCGGAAGCTGTTCTTTTCGAATGTTTCGAAGCGAGTCCTCTCGGGAGACTCCGGCTCCGTGTTTTCGCTCTCTTCTTCTTCCTCTTCCTCATCTTCCTCTTCGTTTGATTCATCTGGTTCTATCTCTGCGATCGTTCGCCGAAGACTGTCACGACTGCCAGCTAAGATGACTGACGCTTGTAACAAGCCCGGCAAAGACATTTGGCCCACGACACCCTCGCCGCCTTCAGTCAAGCGATATAGCTCCAGCGATGCATCTTGTTCTGGCTGCGTATCCCCAGTTGCGCCCAGGGCTTTTTGCCATGCCGGACATTTGACAGAATAGCTTGCGAATGTCTTGTGAACGTCGAATGCGCTCGTATGTTTAGATTTTCCACTGCGGCCAGTGCGGTTGTGCATGTGCCGCGTCGAGAAGGCGGCGTCTTGCCAGTCGTCCATTGCAAAAGAATCTGGATGTTAGGGCTCTAGAGTCAAAGATTGTTTGAATGGTGTTCGTGGGCTCGTGTGCCTCGTCGACAAAGAGAGGTTGACGTCATAGACTAGCTGGATTCCAGCCTCAGGGCCTAAGGAAAGCGGGCGATAGCACTGGTGCCTCTGAAATGCCACAGTGGGAGAAGCATAAAGGATGTCAGGACGGTGATAGGGGTGCATCGCGGGGCATGCATACTCCGCACTTCCAACCTGCTTATATTAGTCGGGTCACTCCCACAACGGTAGTCATGTGCTTGTGGCTGGACCAGCCATTCTGCATCTGTCATAACGGGCTTGTCAGGTCTTGCCGTCCCGGGCACATTGTATCTATCATCGGGTTTGGGAAAAGAAGTTGCTGGCGGTAGGTATGTCAAAGGTCAAGGGTCAGGTGGGCCGCACGTGAACAGGCGTCGGAGTTCGGGCGTCGCGAATGGCTCCGTCAGCGCAAACCAACAAACACCAACGATGGCACCCAAAGGGTCTAGGAAGTCGGCGGCTGCAGCGCCCAACAAGACGCTCGTCCTGGACAATGGCGCATATTCGATCAAAGCCGGTCTAGTCTCGCCAGCCTCGGAGCCTACCTACGACGACTGCAGTGTCATTCCCAACTGCATCGCGCGCAGCACACGCGACAAGTGCACCTACGTCGGCGCCGAGCTCGATTCGTGTAAAGACTTTGGAGAACTGGCGTTTCGCCGTCCAGTGGAAAAGGGCTTCATTGTCAATTGGGAGGCAGAGAAGGCGATATGGGAGCACGAGTTCATTGGCGACGCCGTGGGGGAGGGGTTGAGGGTGGGTACGCACAGTCGCGAGCTCGTGAAGGGTGTGAGAACTAACAGTACGCAGTGTGAGCCGAAAGACACAAATCTGGTCTTGACAGAGAAGCCAAACTGCCCGAAAGAGCTGCAGAAGAACTGCGACGAGATCATCTTCGAGCAGTTCGAATTCGCCGCCTACTACCGATGCGTTGGCGCGACCCTAAATGCCTACAACCCTCCCACCGCGTCCTCGTTGGCATCGCTACCGCAAGAATGCCTCCTCATCATCGATACATCGTACTCAGACACGACCGTCCTCCCTCTCTACAATGGCAAGCTCATACAATCGGCTGTGCGGCGGCTTACAGTCGGTGGGAAGCTGCTCACAAACTACCTGAAAGAGCTCTCTTCGCTGCGGCACTACAACATGATGGAGGAGACATATCTGCTCAACGAGATCAAAGAAGCAGTCTCGTACGTCGTGCCATCATCGCAGCAATTCGCCAAAGATCTGGAGCGCACTTGGAAAGGACGGCTGGGAGATAAACGAGAGCTGGATTCGAGCATAGTGGTCGACTATGTGCTCCCGGACTACGAGAATGCTATACACGGGCATGCGCGGCCCCACGACCCTGCAAAATCACGCATGCGCCGAGGGCTACAACCGCTACAAGGACCAAGAGAAGATCTGCTACCTCTAGGCAATGAGCGCTTCGCCGTGCCCGAGCTCCTCTTCAACCCTTCCGATATTGGCATTCAGGAAGCTGGAATACCTGGCGCCGTCATGGAGTCGCTGAGTACACTGCCAGAAGCTCTAAGAATCGGCCTGTTGGCGAATGTTGTCGTGGTGGGCGGGAACTCGTTGATTGCCGGCTTTATGGAACGAATGCAGACGGAGCTGAGGGCTCTGGTACCAGCCGAGTACACGCTGAACGTGGCGAGGGCAGATGACCCGATCAAACATACATGGCTAGGAGGAGCAAACGTCGCTAGCCAACCCGACTTGTTGAAGGAGTTGCTCGTGTCCAAAGCCGACTATGACGAGAGAGGCTCTACGTGGCTAGTCAAGAAGTTTTCATGATATACATAATAGACACTTCAACATAAAAGTATCTTCCCTGATGTCAAAATCTCTAAATCAAAAATCAAAGTGCAGGCGGAGATCAGACGACGCATGGTCCCCAAAACCATGGGCTTCTCCAGTGCTCGGGGCTGCTAGGGCGCTGATTGGCTGATGTCCGGCGGCTTGGCGTGCTCGTCGACATGTCGAAGGAATTTCCAGCAGACGTGCATCACCCGCATCTCGAACCCAATGCGCCGAATACCGCGCCCCTCGCGGGCAACTGATCCCTCACATCCCCTCTCCGCTTGCATACGGCAACGAGTCTCGCTATTGCCCTGCCGCCCCGCCCCGTCGCCCTGCACCCATCTCCGCACCCCATCCGCCGCCTTCTCCACAACCGCACCCCAGTCCTTCCTGCTACCGGGCAAACAGGACAAGAGAAAGCACCAGCAGTTCGTGCGAAGATGGCAGAAGCGTCTTCTTGGCGACTCAGAGCCTATCGGTGCACACGTCGACCCTTATGATCCCACATCACCGGTCCGCATAGCGCCTGAAGACCAGGGCGAATACGAAGAGGTCCTTGATGAGGAAGCCTCAAGATTCCCCCAATACAAGCCTGCGAAGTATCTACGCGGCCTGCATCGGGTCGGTGGCGAGGAATGGCTGCAGGAAAAGGTCGAAAAGGACTTGGCTAAGGAATTCGAGAAACTCACGCTACGGACGTACACGCCACTGACACTGGACATGGCCAATGAGATCGAAGAGCTCACGGGCACTCCGTACACTTTGAAGGACGAGAACCTGCTTATGGCGCAAACTGTACACGAGAAGACCAAGCGCCCATATACCAGCTACAACTTCGGCCTCCACGCCAAAGCTACCCGGATTACCGATATGCGTGCTAGTTTCACACAAGCTGTCGCCGAGATTTATGCCCTGAAGCAGGCTGGTTTAGATATGGACCTATCCAAGTTTGCCAACCGAGGTGTTTACGATCGGCCACGCTGGGTCAAGGACATCAAGCTAGTCAAGACAGAAAGCGGTGAGCTTACCCTTGCCTTCCCCCAGCACAAGAGCTTGGATGATCTCTTGGAGACGATGCAAACGGCACCCGCTTGGGAGGCTGAGCCAGAGGTATCGGACGAGCTGCTCGTTGAAGAGGTCGTTGAGGAACTTGAGGATGCCGGCCTTGCACAGGAGCAAGTACAGACCATGGATCCCGACACACCAGCACACAAGAGAGCAGCAGTGGTCAAGATGGATGGCGAGAACAAGCCGTTTGACTTCATGTCGAACCGCCCCGTCCCTCGCGCCAAGCCAGTTGAAGCGCCCGTCAATGAGGCAATTGTTGAGGAAGTGGTCGTTCAAGAAACTACGCCACCTCAAGTTGCTCACGACGTACCCCAAACCGAGCTTGTTGACCATGCAGCCGACCCGGAGCCCGTTAACCAAATCGTTCCAGCTGCAGCGAGCGAGTCACGACATGCTATCCTCGAAGAGAGAGCGAAGCGTTTGGCGGCTGACTTTGCGGCTCTAAAAACCTCAGTTCAGCAGAGCAGCAGAGATTCGTCTGCTATCAAGCCCGAAGAGACGAAATGGCGGCACGTTCCCGTCACTGACATCAACGTCAAGTTCGCTGTACGTGTATCGACCCTTTTTACTTTACCTTTGCTGACTTCTGTAGCTTTACAAACGCCTTTACCAACTTACCGGCTGCCGCATCTCCGATCCACACCTCTCTTCCACGAACACCCTAGGCGATCTATACAATCATCTATTAGAGGCCGCCAAACCCCAGCCTACCAGTCTCTTCAGCGCTATGCATGTAGAAGGGCAGAAGGCACGTCAGCGAGCGAAGCAGCAGGCCACATCTGATGCCGACGCCAAGAGGAGGGCCGACCTGGGCGATTTGATTAATCTGGGCAACGTCGAATTGCGTCGCGTCAAGCCTACCAAGGTTGAGAAGCGCAGCAAGACTGGTCAAGACAAGGTTATCAGCTATGCTCTATGGGAGCGTGGTCTGGGTTCAGGTATACCGGCTAGGCTTGAACAGATGAAGCAGAAGCAATCGAGGGGAGCAAAGAAGGCACAACCCGAGCGTGGAACTGTCACCCCCTTAACCAGCAAGGCCGCTGATTTCTTGCTCAGAAAGAGCGGTACCTTGCAATCAGCACGCGCAAAAGCGGTGTAGCGGACAGTTCCTGGAACCATGAATACATTTGCATCCGATGCATGACTTATGCCCAACCATGATCTGAACGGGTCAAAACATTGTATAGTATGTACACTAGGAGAGCTGGCATAGTTGATAGCTTCCTTCTGCTGGAGGGCCAAATGAATGCCCTCTGCCTTGCTTCATGCAAATGGCAATAATGTTTCACGGACTGCTAAATGGTCGCGTGATGGAATGCTGCTTCGCACGTGGCCTGTAGGATAGTGTGCTTACCTAGGTACGCATCGGCCTGCTCCGAGAATGCAAATCATCCAGCCGCTCTGTGAACGGCTCGAAAGCCTGAAATCATCCCGCTAGTCAGCCACAGACCGAAGTCGCACCTAATCAGCGTACCAACTCCTGATAAGAATCAAGCCATATGCAGGGCTCACAGGCAACGCTCCTTACCGAGGGAGTGATCCATGATTGCCGACAGGCTAAGCTTTGCCCAGAAGTGCTTGTCAAAGATAAGAGTGGAGCTACTAGTTCTTCGCAAGCACACAGGCTAGGCGGCATACGGCAACTCTTTTTTCTTCGCACCCTGTCATCGGCGTCAAAACGGCTTTTCGTGACGCGGCTGGGAGCCGAGTGTGCGCGGTGGGGTAGTTTACTATAGAACGACCATGCTTCGCCTGGTTTGACCCTCGGTTGGTTTGTTACAACCCTTTCTAGTCATTGTTACTTCGCCTTCTGTTTGAGGAGTACTGCCCACGATGTTGTCAGCGGAAAAAGCCCAGGACGAAGCCAGTCTCTCGACAGACAGCGGCAGAGGAGTCAGCGCTGCGACAGCCGTCCCACGCAAAACCGGAATCCTCGCCAAACTACGCCGATTCGAAGAGCGATTAGATGCGAAACTAGGCATTGAATCCGAAGCCATCAGTCGCAAACTGCCAGAAGACAAGGGCGACGTGCCATGGCACCACCAGCTCAACATGTTCTTCCTCTGGGCCTCGGGCACAATGAACACGTCTTGTTTCGCGACGGGGTTCCTCGGGCACGAATTTGGTTTGAGTAAGACCACTGCTTTCCCTGTGCACTTGCAACAGCTTGACTGATTGTTTTGTGCCTGCAGCGCTTCGCCAGAGTATCGTCATCACCATCTTCGCGTCTATCCTTGGTGGCGCGGCGACAGGGTTCGCCGCCACTTTCGGTGCGCCGACTGGGCTGAGGCAGATTTCCATGTCGAGATATGCGTTTGGGTGGTGGCCTAACAAGGTTATTGCTGCTCTTAACACTATTGTGCAGATTGGCTGGGCGTCTGTGGCTTGCATCACGGGTGGTTTGGCACTGACTGCTGTGGCGGATGGCCATATCTCGCTGATTGTCGGTATCGTCATCCTGGCAGTGGTGGCTACGCTCATCTCCTTCGTCGGTCTTCGAGCTATTTTGGTGTACGAGCGCTACGCGTGGTTCGTCTTTTTCATCATCTTCATCATCTTCTTTGCCGAGACGGGCAAGTATACCGACAACAGCAATACGCCTAAGCTGAAGGGAGCGGACCTCAGTGGACAGGTTTTGAGCTTGATTGCTATCGTCTACGGTAGTTCTGCATCGTGGCAGACCATGGCATCCGACTACTACGTTCATTACCCCGTCAACGTCTCCCGCTGGAAGGTCTTCCTCATGACCACCTTTGGTATCGCTATTCCTACTTCGATCGGCATGCTGGCCGGCTGCGTCGTGTCATTCGGCATGAACAACCGACCAGACTGGGAAGAAGTGTACGACAACGACGGCCTGGGCTTCCTCATCCAAACCATGCTCTACCCACGCGGTTTTGCGAAGCTGATTCTCACTCTTCTGGTTCTTTCCGGCATCAACGTAAATGTCATCTCCATCTACAGCGCCGCCATCTCTTGCCAGCAATTTTCCCGTCCTTTTGCGCGCGTTCCCCGCTTCATCTGGATCCTGGTCTGTTTCGCGGCCATCCTTGGTCTCGCTATTGGTGGCCGTGAGCAACTGAGTGTCTACCTGCAGAACTTCCTTAGTCTGCTCGGCTACTGGACTACTCAGTACTTTGTCATTCTCTGCAGCGAGCATGTCATCTTCCGCCGTATGAACTTCGAAAACTACGATCTGGATGCGTGGAATGACCCCAGTCGCCTGCCGTTGGGTATCGCCGCTGGCACCGCCTTCGCCGTCGGGATCGTCGCGTGGATCCTTGGCATGGTCGAAACGTGGTATGTCGGTCCACTAGGTGGGCTCATCGGAGCTGATGGTGGTGACGTTGCGAATGAGTTCACATTCGTTGTAACTGCCCTTGTGTACATACCTGCGCGCTATCTTGAGAAGAAGATTGTTGGGAGGTAGGGATCTGGGCTGCGAAAGAAGCAGCACTATAAAGTGCCTAGGCACGGCACTGCCAACAAAGGCTTCGAACGTGTTGATGACGAAGAATCGACAACGCATCCATGATCAGACCTTTCGAGAGTGACTTCGTACTTTGACTGCACAGCAACTGCATCTCATTAGTTAACGCTGGGCCAGCTGCGACAAAGCCGCGCAACTATTCATTCCTCAACTTACACGTTGCCGGTAACCTATGAGTACCTTCAAACTTCCCAAGCTCTCTTCGCAATCGTATACATAGCGTCTCCTTTCAGCAGGCTGACCATCCATTTACCATCCGGAGACTCCTCGCCACCTAATGCCTGCCCAGCGGTGATCACAGTCCACTGTACAATGGGTGAGACAAAGTCTGTTTCTCCCCGCGCGCGTTTGTGTTGCAAATAGTCAGTGATACAGCGGGCAATATTGAGCCCTGCTGCAACAATGGCGGGATAGTAAGAACTCTCGTTCGTAACATCCGCGCCTGTGTCGCCCTGTATGTGATCGCTCAGATTCTCTTGTGGGCCGTTGGTTTTGATTTCTAAAGTCGCCATGACACGGAGGGTGTAGATCAACGCTGTGTTGTACAACATCAGCATCCGCGCAACAGAGTCGCTCATAAACCTGTAGATGATGCGTGGCGACATCTCGGTAGTGGTCAGATCGAGAGACTCTTCTTCAATATGGACATTCTCCTCATTGCTATCCCATCGTTGTTTCCACGCTTGAAGAAAGACTAAGAGCCCATCTGCCTTGCATTGCATCTCCTGTCGCCGCTGTATATAGCTTAAGCCAGACGGATGCTGAAGCTTGAAGAGCTCGTCACTCGCAGCTATGAGCACCGAGCAATCTGCGAGCACATCGTGTAAGTCTTGTTCATCTGGAGTTTCCAGCGAGAGTGCTGTTCTCAGTACAGCTTTCCACTGTGGTCGCGCAAAGATTGATGGCGTTCTGTTCCTCAATGATGCTATCAGTATCATGTGTCGTACACCTTTGTACAGCTCTAGTGTGCGAAACGACGCATAAGCCAGGGATGCTGGGTCACGTAGTGCTAGAAGCTGTTCCAATCCAAGCATGTGCTTGAGCCAGTTCCTAGGGCCAGTGGGCATGAAGAGTTCAAGCATAGCCAATAGAATGACGGAAACGATTACGTCGTCATGCATACGCCGTTCTGGCTGGCTTAAAGCCTGGTTTAACCGCTTAAGAGCTACACCATGTATGGCATAACCTTCGGTGAGGATACCGCTCTGGTGATGCTGCGCGCCGAAGAAGAGGGTTGCAAAGCTGAGTGCGGCTTGAACAAACAATGGGCCGCTTGCTCCTTTTGCGGCGTAGTTATCCGTGACAATGTCTGAGGGCTGAAGCTCCTGTAACCCTAGGTCTATGGGACCGTTGGGTAGAAGATGGCGGCGTGCATAACAGATGCAAATTTCTTTGTCGTTGAATTTAGGCCTGATTTCAGGGAGGTCGAAGCGGTATTCAGGAGATTCCGAGGTAGACTCTTCTACTTCTTGCCTCTTCCAGACAGTCGTTACAGGCGGGTCCGCCGCCTTGCTCTTCAACTTCTGTGACCTCCTAGACTTGACGATTTTGCCTTGCACAAAGACGATCGACTGTGGACCATCGCATTTGAAGCCAGCCTTTTCGCATCTCTGACATGTTGGGCGAGTCTCATCTTTAGTAGGGTCAGCCTGAGGTCTAATGTGCACGACGTTGGCGCTTACCGCACTTGATACGGCGCCTGCGGCAGGTTGAGCATCCTTTCGAACGGCCGGCTACATTGACCATGATCTAGACTTTGTTTTTGCGAGATGCATGTGGATGAGACGAATGCGGTACATTGGACGAGGTGGCTGAAGAGGCAGGCGGGGAGGTCATGGGCTGACATGGGGGGACATCGGCCTAATCTGGGTCAAGCTAAACCGCTTGCGGCTCATTGGGCGAGATGCCTCGACCCCTAAGACGTGCCGCACCGCCCCTTCTTGCGTTCTTCCATCAACCTTCCAACGCTAACGTGCAGAGAATCTCCCAGGCCCCCTTGCAGTGTAAAGCCACACTGATATGTATGCGCGCATTGAGCCGCAAAAGGCATAGGTATATCATGATATCTTTCGTCCGCTCACCAGCTGTAGATATGGATTCGTACGAAGGCGTCACGCTATCTGCGATAAATATCATCACTGCATCTCCTATCGTCACATTAAGGTTCGAGTTTGTCTTCGTCGGAACAAATCCTATCCATTGAACTTACCAAGTGATCGTCGCTCTTCGTCTGCCACCTCACAGCTATGACAGTCACAGCAAGCATCGACATCGCATCCTCACCGGAAGCCGTCCGCGCAAAAGTACGAGCTTCACCTTTTCCGGCCTGATACAAAGCTTATCAGTTGCAATGCTTACGAGATCCCCAGTTTCTCGACTTCGCATCCCTCCCCAAATACCACAAAGGCTTCTTCGCTTCTCTGACCCCACTCGGCCCCGTCGAACCCGAGAACAAGATACGCGTTGTCTTTTCATCGGGACAAAAGATGGATGCTCCAATAGAAGTACGTCATATCTGTACTTGACTATGACGCGACATTGTCTAACAGAGTTTGTAGCATAACACACCAACCTCTTTTGCGTGGACAGGGTCTATACCGCTTCTGTTCACAGGTACGCATTCGTTCACTTTTGAGCCAAGCAGTACTATTCCAGGTGGCACAAAGTTCACGCAAGAAGAAGTCTTCAGCGGCGCGCTGTCCTTTCTCATGGGTGAAAACGCGGTGGCACGAAAGTTCGGCTTCCCGGAAAAGACGAAGAAAGGATGGGAGGGCTACAACAATGACCTGAAGGCGTGGTGTGAAGCGAAGTGATGCACGCAACCGTTCGATGTTTATTGTTTCGAGTATCTGGAGTTGGGGAATTCACTTTATGTTGAGTAGGATATAGACTGCCATAGACTTCCATGCGTAACGGTTCGTTCTCTTTGGCGCTCACGTTTCCTGCTTCATGCTTTTACCATGATTTTCCGTCCTTTGAACGCCACCCGAGCAGCAATAAGCAACAGCACACATCCGAATAACAAACACCCTCCGAACACCCACAAGCTAGCAAAACCACTCTTTTCTTGAATCGCACCTCCGATCGGCGTTCCAATAAGCAGTCCCACGCCCACGACAGCGAAGGCCTGACCCATTCTTGTGCCGACCTTGTCTCGCGCGTCACTACTCAGCTGAACTACAATGGCGGGTGGAAGCGAGACGAACGATCCAGAGAAGAAGCCGTAGAATGCCATGAGTACTATAATGCCGGCGGAGGAGGTGGCACCCATGAAGCATATGCAGAGAACGCCAGAGATGATGCAGCAGGGAATTACGACGTTGAAAGGGCCGAGTTTGTCGGAGAACTGTTACGGAGAGAAATTAGTAACTCCAGGCCAAACAAAAGTAGTATCCAGAGGGTGGCGGAAAAGCTTACCAAGTTCGGTACTATACGTCCAAAGACACTCGTGCTATTCATGATGGCGAGGAGATAGAATGCCATACTCTCACTGGTAATATGTTCCTGGATAGCGTAGGTTTGTGCATAGAAGAACGGCATATATAAGCCCATGAAGCCAAGGAAGAATCCCGCGACCATGAGACTATATGACGGCATCCGGAATGCGCGCAGGTCGAGAAGAGAACGCGATTCCGCCGGCAGAACCCGGACGCGCATGCAAACATTGGGTACAGTCATAGTGGCGAGGACAATGAAGCCGAGCACCCGTGTCGTCCAGGCGAATCCGATTTGAGAAATGAGTTTGTGGAATACAATGGGATAGATGACGCCGCCAAGCGATGACCCAGCTGCGGCAATTCCAATTACTGTTCCGATTCGGGTAGAAAAGTAGGTTGAAAGGATAGCCACACTAGGGATAAACAGACATCCAGTGCCAATACCGATGCAGAACGCTTGTGCGAGAAGGACTTGCCAGTACGTATGGCATAGACTGAGCATCATCTGGCCCAAAACCAACATGAAGCTTCCCACGATGAGCAGTGCGCGAAAGTAGCCTGCATCATAGATGGGACCAGTGAGTGCGCCGACCAAGAGGAGCAGGAACGCCTGTATAGACCCGATCCAGGATATGGCTGAAGCACTCGAGCTGGCGAGCAAATTCGTTTCGTAATATGTTTGGAATGTTCCGAATGTGTTGATAATCTGTGCTGTAGGGTCAGTTCAGGTCTTACATGAAGTCTGTACGTGGTTTTGACTTACGCCCCAAGAGTTAAACAACAGAAAAAACGCCCCGAGGACCTGCAGCCATGCCCACAGTCCACCATTAGGTATTTTGGACGCGTCATTCACATTAGGTTGACTCGATCGCGCAGGTTCCAGCCTGCTCTCGGCTGTATTTTCATCGTCCTTGTCCTCTATCACGCGCTCCTTGTGTGTGCTGCGCAGCGAATCCAAAGTCGCATACGATGGCTGATGTCTTGGATCCTTCGACGACTCCGCACTGTACTGCGAATTCAAGGTCGCAAGGGATGGCTGTTGACTAGGTCCGCCAAAGTTCGTCAACTCATAGGAAGCCGGTCCAGTCTGTCTACCGGGGTCCAGCGTCGATACGTTCGTAGGTGGCATACTGGGCCTGTTCCCGCTGCCAGTGTAGCTGTCGCGAGTGGAAGTGTTGTCGCTAGGTATCAAGACGGAGCAGTGGCCCGGCAGTGAGTGTCCAACGAGGTTCTTGTTGGTGAAATGGGGTCCTTAAAAACGGAAACTACCAATAGCAACGCTTGCTAAGAAGCACACAAGCAAGAAATAACGAGTAAAAGAATCAAAGAGTTGGCGGAACGCGGACTTAGAAAGACGTCGAAAGGAGACGTGAATGAGAGACAAGCAGCCCTAGGAGACCATATATCAAGCTTCGGAGTCGACTGGGGGCATCGGCTAGAAAGGGTGCAACACAGACTTGGGCTGCGCTATACTTCCTTCTCTTTCGGGCATATTCTCAAGCAACCCACAGCTCGCTCCAGCCTTGGAAGTTGAGGCTGAGGAAGACATGGCGAAACGTACTTGCTAAAGTTTGTCCAACACACCGTAACCAGTCGGGGGATTTCGTTATGAGGAACGTTTCGGTTTCATGCTTTAGTCAAAACCTTAGGGGGTACAGCCTTGTAGACAACGGCGCGCCACGTGCGCGGCAACAGGCACGTCATGAAACTTTCCTGATTGTTATCTCCGCATTACAGCCGTGCAATTCCGGCCGAGACAGGGCTGTATCCCATCGTCGTACCTTCCAAGAACACTGCGCTTCGCATATGTAGTCTGCTGAATACCCTGATGCTATTTTTCCGCCCTCCAGCGCGGCCTATCTAACCCGTGAGATTTCATCCTCCACCTTTGTATACCGCGCTGCGTCTGATTCCGACACATTTGCCTAAGACGCCGCCATCATCATAGAGAAAAGAAAACATTTATGCCGTAATGATGTACAAATCAAAGTCAAGCTGGCATGCTGTCATGATCTTGGGGAATATGCTTCGTCACATCGTAACGTACTTTTGGTGACCGTAGGAAAGGTTTTGGTGGAAGGACTCGCTCACAACGCCTGCGTGAACGCCCATGAACGCTCACTATGCTTACACCCTAAGGAAAGAACCGACCTGGTTTGTATGTCGCCGGCCCGAAAAGTCGTGCCGAACGTCGAATGCTGACATGAGAAAGAACTAACGTCGTCGAGGCTCCACTTGTTCGGACGGCCCCTCATGTGTCGCTGGCGACCCGTTTCGTCGCCAAGCGATGGCCGGAAGGGTGAAGAGGTGATGGCTCGACTTGCTCCACGCGTTCTTCAAGATACACGTTGTTCAAGAGGCCGGCTGGAATGGTGCCATCTTGGCCCGGCTTCAACTGGCCCGCCGATGCTTTTTGGCGCCGATTCTCACGCTCGTTGACTACTTCGCGCAAGATCTTGGTGGCACCACTCCATCCGAGTTGATTCGCTGTTGCCCGATGATTGAAGAGCCGTTCCACGAGTGGAAGTGGCAAAGATAGCAGGATAGTCGACAGCACGACGGTCGCGTGGCTAGGGCGGTGATCATCTTCCGGTGGCGCGTCACCGAACCGAATCTTGCTTAGCCTTGGGTTATGCGCGGCGTTGCGTGGTTCAACGAGTGCTGGCAGACGTGGGGCATCTGAAAACTCTGGGGCTATCGCGTACAATTTGAAGTCGACAGGGAAGGTGTATGCGATGAACTCGAGAGCGTGATTGAGAAGCATTGAAATAAAGGGGTCTTCTGCATCGGGACCTTCACCTCTTGATCGTGACCCGGAGCTGGCCTGCAGTGTATACTGCAGTACCTGCTCGACAGTATCCCATCGGAGAAGCATCCTTGCGATCTCGATACCACGCGCCTGCATGCTAGGCATCTGGAGAGTCCTTGCTGCCGCAACGTAGCTCAGAACTTGTCGCATGCGCATACGGGCGTCATTGGAAGGGGTCGCTTGGTCGTTCTCGTACATGTAAGGTGCAAGGCCGTACAGGAAGGTCTGGGCAGAAAGGAGCGGGGCGCCATACAGAACCCTGACAGCTTCCTCTAGGGATTCGCCGGTGGTGAAAGGGTCGAGCGCAAGGACATCGACCAGTCGGCGCGCGTCTCTGCTGCGGTGGCTTGGGGCCGGGCTGCGACGAACTGCTTCGGCTATGACCGGGCTACGCACGACTACGATACCGTGCACTGGCACTGACATTAGGATTGACTCGGGCGACCGTACTTGGAGGATGAAGTCGGCGAATTCGGGGTTGGCGAATTGGATTGACAAATAGCTGGCAAGTTCGAACGGCGACTCCTCGAGGCGTTCGGTAGGAGGGGCAGTGCCATTCTGGTAGGGCATAGCATGATGCTCGTCCCCGTGGTCTGACGTGGGTACGGTGTCGCCAAATTGTGCCTTGCTCGGTGACTGCGAGTGAGAGGTGCGGGTACCGTTTGCGACAAAAGCTGCCTGTTCCGGCGAGAAGTGACCGTTGGGAGGACCCGGATAGAGGACTGGGCCGCTGGGAAACTGCGAGGGTCTAAACTCGGAGCCGTTTGCGTAGGCAGCTTCAGGCGGCGCGACTGCTTGTGGCGGCACATGCCAGGGTGCTCCTGCCTCTGAGGGATGCTGGGCGTGGCCGGGGAAGAAGGGCGCAAATTGCTGGGGACCGAATCCAGGCGGAGGACGAGGCAGCGCGTGCTGTTCGTGCTGGTGCAGCTCTGGCTCTTGAGGAGCCGCAGGAGGTGCCGGTGACTCATTCGCGCTCTGGAAGACCAGAGCACCAGCACTGAGCTGGTGGCGGTGCGAGGAAGTGTGAGCGCTGTCGCTGCCTTCTGTGGGTGGTGTCTGTGTGTCCGTCTTGTTCGAGGGATAGAAGGGCGGGGGCAGGTGAGCGGGTATGGTCAGTTTGCGGTGCACTCCGTTCGTGGCAGGCTTGGGCTCAGCGCTGGGCGCCACGGGCGCGGGAGGCTTCTCGTCGGCATGGCCGTTGACGTGGGTCTCTGCATCTTGGGAGTTTAGTACGTGCTGCGTCAAAGAAGGAGCCGATAGTGAATGCTCACCATGAGTGTCTGCCGGTGCCGAGTGGCCATTCTGCAACGGGCCAGGCGCGGCGGTGGCATCGGGCTCTCTCTTTTCTGCGCCCGAAGTGTTTGACTCTGGCGTAAGAGGAGTCTGCGCCGCCTCGGTCTGCTGATTTTCTGTTTGCTCTTGTTCCTGCCTCTTGTGCGCGGATTGCGGCTCCGGCTGCGGCTTAGCTGGCTGGGCAACGCTGTCCTTGGTGGAGCCGTCTGGTGTGATGGGTCTGGCTGATGGTTGAGACTTGGACAGACGGTAGGGGATGGCAGGCACGATGCGCGAGCCTGGGCGCCGGTGCTGCTTCTGCGCGGTGGCTGCGCGTGCGGTGTCGGCCATGTTTGCTGGGGCGTGCGGAAGAAAGTGCGACTGAGGATTCGGAAGCGGCTCCAGGTAATTGCGGCCTGCTGCTTGTTGCCAATTATCCTGGAGCGCCCTGGGACGGGAGAAGTGTGCGGCGAGGGTATTTGCTACGTGGGGTTAGTCGACAGCAGAGAAGTCCAGGCAGAGATGGAGACATGGCTTCCCCACCAATTTTAGCTGCACACCTCTGACCTCATGGCCATAGCTTAAGCTCCATTTGTCATCCTCCGCCGCCCACACTGAAACACCACAACGTTCTTTGTTCCCTTTTCTCTACATACACGCTGTCGTCGTGCTGCATAGAGACGCAGATTACTGGTCGTCGGAAATTACGCCAGTACATGTCGTGCTGATGGGTCAGTGACAGCCAAGGAGAGTCTGCAGACGGCGACCCTACGATGCAGGGCAAGCTTCCGCAAGAATGATGTATTCTTTATTATACAGCATCACGGCTGACTAGCACTGCAAGCGAATACTATTCATCCGTTGGTTCTCACTCCATCTAGGTGGCTACCTGTGCATTCCTCCAGTCGAAGCGACTGTCCATGCAGAGCATCATGACATTCACATCGACCCTAGACTCCACCGGGTGTACCTTCCAGCTCCAGACATCAAACAGAACGTTCGAACTGGAAAGAGCCACTGACTGACCGCTGATGGAGAAGGCACGACCTCAAGACAGGGCGAACGGCGCTCCTTTGCAGGGCAGTAACGCTCCTCTTAGCCACATGGCACTCTTATCGCCATGGCTGTCCTTCCGAATACACCTCAGTCTTCTTCTTTGCTATCGCAAGATAAACCGAAATACTGCACCTACAGCTCCGTCACCTTCTCTCGTTTGCCCTATATTTCCTAGTCCAACATTGCCTTTCGTTACACCTCTAGCATGATCCTAGGACAGGCACAACCAATCCGCAATGACCGAACCTCGACGCGATTCTCCAAGCCTGCGCGCCCGTTGAAGGACGGTCGCTGCTCCGATTGTCGAGTACGCGATACCAGAGCCATTTCCGCTAAATACTGCTTGACTACCTGTCCTCATGAGCATGATTTTACTCCTACGCGTACGTTGGCACTAGATGGCATGCGTTTTGACGGCTTCTAACATTTATAGCGAATAAATTCAGCATCCTAGCAGAGCTCCAACAGTCGCCCACCGAACCAAAGTGGGGTTTCGATTTTGTGCCCACCGCCACCGGAAGCACGAGACGGCGAGGCAAACGGGGAGGAAAGCGCCATAGAAGCAAAGACTTATCTACCAAGGATACTGAACGATGCGAAAATGCAAACATTAGCGCGTTGTGCAAGACCATGGCTGCGTTGCGTCTTGACGAGGATGAGCCGATTAAACCAGGGATGGACGACACTTCTAGCCATAGTCGAAAGGCCGCACCTATCAATCCTCCGTGTTTCGACATCGACAGACCTTCCTGGGCCCCGCAATTTCTTCCAGATTCAAAAGCCACCGCAACAAGCCAGTCCCAGTCCTCCCAGATCAAAGCACTGCGATCTCAAACTTCCTCTAATGGCGCAGCGACTAAGCGGCAGAATTCGCAATTCTTCCCAATCTCCGCTTTTCTTGCCTGTCCCGATCCATCGGGACGGTTTCCATCCAAGTCTAAATTCCTAGACCCAAAGGCTGCTGAAAAGGGTCGGCAACCCTCAGAGTCTTCAGGCCCTCCTCCTACATCTTCGTCCCACGCACAATACGCAGCAAGAAAAGCAGCACATCGTACACTCACTTCAAGGAGTCTACAGGCCAAGCCTACCACATCCACTGACGAGTCACATATCCAGCAAAAGGGACCACCTCCTCTCCCAACCGTCGCGAATACCCCGAGTACGTCCTGTCCCCTCAGTCTTGTCAACATATCCTCCACCATGATTGAGCCAACCTTTGTATGCCCTTCTGGTGCTTCTCAATCCACCGAACCCGAGACAGCGAATGGAAAAACTGGAACTCCATCCATTGCACATGGCCTTGGGCGGGAACCTCCATTCTTGGACGCTGAAAAGATGAAAGTCAATCCGCGTTTTCACGGCTGTTGGCAACGCCGTTCAATACCAACTCCAGCAAAGGTTCGTCAGTCGGATACGCTGATGAGCTCGGGTCATGCGCGTATCAGGTTGTCACTGCAAGAAGTGACTGCTCCAGCAAAGCTCAACGCGCGTTGCTATATTCCTCAGCAACCCGGTCGAAAGTCTAAGTTCTTCGCCGACGGCAAACTCATCGCGCGCGAGAGCACCTCCACGGCCCAGCAGCTCGTCCTCGGAACACCGTCGTCTGGATATGACAATCTATTTACGAGAATAAGCTCACCCACTTCTCATGCTTACGAAAGCTCTTCTCGTCCACCCTTTCAGGACTCGTTCAAAACGTTGGAGGCAGAACACCCGTGGAACGCTTATCATAGTTCTATTGCGCTGTCAGACAAGCCTGCAGTATCTAGCGTGTCCTTTTCAGATATTTTCACATCGCCCAATACGCGGAATGAGCAGGACAGTATCCCACAGCGCTCACCGACCCTCGACATCAGCCATGTAAACTCCAAACCATCCGCGCAAGATAATCACAGGGCCACAATCTCCAAAGTGCTTGCACTCCTGGAAGCTGAACATAAAGAAAGCGTCTCCAATTCAGACACCGATGACTTCGACACTGTCAGTCTTCTTTCCGAGTACGATATCATCGATCCGGTAACTACGAAGTCCATGGCGGATTCCTGGGAGGAAGTACCTACACCACCCGAGACTAAGGTCGATGTCGAACCCATTGACGACTCCGACTGCGACGATGAAGATGACGAGTATTACTCTGAGTCTTACTTCCAGTCTCACTAGGAGGAGACACCCGCCACACCTACAAGTACTGCACGATGGACGAGTGATGGTGCCAGCACGAGCGCAGTGGAATGGCCTACTTTGCAAGAGGCGATGAAATTGCGACATACGGGAGTTGACGAGGGTTCAAGTTCGGCGAAAGGTGACGACGAGAGTAAATATTGGGGCGGTGTTACAGATTGGTTCATGTGAGGTCGCACGCCTTGTATAATGAGTGCGTCTCGTTGATGTCGACTTCGAGAGTGTTGCGGCTATGATAGTGTTAGTTTGGGATTCCGTATGGGTCTGCTTGGATCGTGTTGTCTCTTTTAGTCTCTAAAATCCCTAGAATAATGACAATGCTTACATTTGATCGTGCGTCTGATGTCACTACTGTTGGCTAATACATTGCAATGGTATCTTGCCACGTTCTCAACACACGCGTAGGCCACTGCTGTCTTGGTATGTAGTTGTCATTGGTGTTGTCGTAGAAATATGACTAGAAAGACACTGAGGAATCTAAACATCTCTAAACACCTCTTTCTCAAAGTCCTTGCACAAATCATTGAATGGCAGCCATTCATCTTTATCTGACTTTGCCCCGCCCTTCTCCGCGATTGGGCTCCACCACGCCTGCTCCACGCCCGCATCATCGTGTACTACAGCAACGGGCGCGACCGGTCCCATGGCATTCGACTCGTACAATGCTCTGGTATGGTTGAAATACCACATGCGATCCCAGACCGAGACGCGAAGTGACTTGAGCCCATCCCGATGCGCATTGTGGTGGATCAGGCCAGGGACGACGCTCGTCCACATGTTCGTGTAGAGAGGAACATCGTTCCAAGACTTCTCATCGGGAAATTTGGCACCCGGAGCGACGACTGCGGGGCGGAATGGCGGTTGCGACTCTGTAATGTCTTGGGCTAGGTCGTGGACGCGTACTGGCGCGATGTTGAATTCAGCAGACGCTTGCGCGATGGACTTGGAATCGCCGTGTGTTACCCATGCTGAGTCTTCTTCTGCGAAAACTGTCGGGTGCCCAAGTAGACTGGCATAATCCAGTCCAATGCCAAACTCATCTGGCTTGCCAACCTTGTGCTCGCGCAAGTGCCGCTCAGACTGCGGGCTAAGGATGCTCTTTCTCCCCGTTAACCAATCCCCTGTCTTTTGGAAGAAAGACCTGTGCCGTTGTCTCATGACCTCGCGTTGGAATTCCTGGTCTCCGAAAATCTCACTGAAGATCTTCTGGTCGCTGCCAAAGTTTCGGTCTTTGTCCGCCTTTTCCATGGCGCGTTCGAAGAGCGCTTTCATCGCGCCCACGCGGCCCATGGCATCTCCGGAGTTGAGGTACCGTTGTCGGAACTTGACGTATGGATTCTTGTCCCAGCCGATATCGGTATCTGTCTGTGGTCCGTATATATTCCCAGGCAGCGAAGACTGCGGTACAGCATAACAAGGAGGATCCTCTGGTTTCCAGGGCCAACACCGCTTCTGTGCGGAGAATACAATGTCCTGACTTATGCCTTCTGCGGCCGCCGCTCTGGAGCCCATAGTCTTCCGTATCCGCGCATTCGCCGCGTTGTTGATAGCGTGGAAGCGCGAGACCAACGCGCTGGGTCGTAGTTGAAACCAGATGTCGTATCCATCCACCAGCAGCAACAAGTCGTCGTCGCGTTCCGGCCCAAGTTTACGCAGGTATTCGAGCACACCGCTGATCTTGGCTATATGCGAACCTCCAGCTACTAGCGATTTATCGTCGAATGTGGCGCCCCAGTTGATCAGCGTAGGGGTTGGGTACCCAGCCACTGCAGCGCTGAGCATCGTCTTGCAAAGATTGACATCTTTGTGGTCCGCAGGGATGAGGACGTGGAGGATAGAGGAGTGTTTCGCCTTGTTCTTGCTGCTCGACGAGAAAGCAGTGGGAACAAGATGGCGGTCGCTGTTGACGGTAGTAATGAAGATAACAACGAGTACAAAAGATGCTGCGAAAAGCATCCAACGCCGGCGACTCCAGCCAGGTAGGCGCGCGACCGCGTCGTTGGAGAGTTGCTTGTACCCGCGCATCATCCAGAAAATCGTGCTGACACGGCGGAACTGTGAAGCTCACGTTGCGAGATAATGCTTGCGACAGCGCCGTAGTTGGCAGTGCATCTGCACCCGGCCGAGCGCATTATTCATGCTGGTAATGAGCTGACACCGATGGCAGTTCGCCTTCTTAGGATCTAAACTTACACTTGAGCTAGTCGGATATCCCAGCCGTGCGGCGTCAACTCCGGGAGGTGGCGGATGGGCGTACACTAGTGGGTCTACTTGCCGGCACCGTCCGGAAGAGGTGTGCCGAGATGCCACTAATCTCTTTGGTGGCTTGGACCATCTGCTCGGTAAACTGCCACGACCGGGGCGGCGTGGCTATGTGAACAGGAGCGAAATTAGGCAGTAAGATTTATGCATTCCATTCTTGGTGCGAGTTCGATGAGAGACTTTACATGTGATCGTACAGTTTGGTGTAAAACACAATGTTGGTATTAAGATTTAGTAAATTCAACGCCTGATGCTTCGCGATCAATGGTATATAGTGTCCCAAAACGAGACTTTCTCTGCCTCTCCACTGTACAAAGCAGGCTCATGCGACTCGCAAAGAGATTTCCACGAGAGCGATTCCCCCTGGTCACTCCAAGCCCCCAACTTCTCCTCTGGCTCGCCTACTTTACTATCGTATGGCATGTTCTTGGTCCACCGAACTCCATTGATAGGATCTGACCCAATCTTCTCGTCGTTTACTTGAGATGCCGCGCGTTGAAGGCGCTCAGCCTCTCCAGAGTACCACATGCGGGGCCACCAAGTGTCTCGAAATGACTTGTCGCCTGTGAAGTGGAGCACTGGGAAAGGCTGACCAGTAACTGTGTTGAAACCCAGAGACACATCTCGCCACGAAGTTTCCTTCAAGGCCAGATCATCTGATATAGCAGCAAATGGCTTCCTTGACTGCAGCACGTCCTCCTGTAGATCAACCATGTACGGCTCCACGGATTTCGATGATGAAGGAAGCGAGGATCGGTTTGTCGTCATCCAAGCAATGTAGTTCCTATACCCCGCAGCTGTTTGAAATAGGCTCGATCGATAGTCCAGCCCGATGTGATATTCAGTCACATCGCCTTCCTTGAGCGTTGGTAGGTCAATTTCTTGAACTCCTTCGGGCATCCCGTAGGGCTTATCTCCATGCGATAGTATGCGCGCATACTCTTGATCACCCCATACGTCTGCAAAGTACTTCTGATCGGAGTTGCGCAGCACGTCTTCGGGATTGTACGTCTGCTTGATCTTTTCTTGAGTTGCACGAAACATCTCGCGCATTTCACCAGCGGGCCCGATGATGGTGCCTGAGTTCAGCCAGCGCGGTCTTGCGTGATTCATATCACCCCATCCATCGGTATAAGGGCCAAAGGCGTCTGGGTGAAGAGGTGAGTCAGGAACGACCCAGCACGCTAAACGAAGAACATCTTCTGGCCAGCATACTTTGTCAGGGCCGAAAAGGATGCTGTTGTACATGTTGTGTTTCCGCACATGGTTTTTTCCGTACCGGTTGACCAGCCGATCATTAGCGGCAGCCGTTTCTTCGAAGTAACGCTTTAGCAAGACATCTGGACCGAGCTGAAACGTAACATCGAAGCCATCCACCAGTAGGACTATGTCTGTATCTTGCGTGGGGGACAGACTCTCGAGGTAGCGAAGAGGACCCGCGATTTTCGCAAGGTGAGTTTCTGCAGCGTTGAAGGCGCCCGCTCCTGCCCAGTCGATGAGAACAGGAGGTGGGTACAAGAGCACCGACGTGGAGAGAAGAACGCGGCACAAATCGAGGCCACTACTCGTAGCTACAATAAGCAGGTGAAGACGCGATTCTTGGATATTCGTGGTGAGTGGATCTTGTGTCGCGGCTTGCCGTATGGTGTCGAGGGAGTTGAGATGTAGTGCAGTCCAGAAAACTACCAGGGTCGCGAAAACCAGGGTTCCGAAGACGAGAGTCCTAGGACGAAGCATGGCGCAGGTGTATTGAGCCACAGCCGTCTGAAGGCGATTATGATATGATCAGTGGTAATAGAGCGCTAATCTTAGGCCAGCCATAGCCCAGCAAAACTCTCCTTTGGCATTGATACCGTGCAGCCCCGTGGCCAGGCAGACCTCGGGAGCGTGGCGTCACCCATGGCAATCTCGTATGGTGAGCTGCATGATTGGCATAAATGGCATGATTCCGAAAGAAGTTGATAGAGCGAGGCATACTACCAGGATATCGGGAAAGACGGATGCTAGTGTCTCGCTCGGATCCAGGCTCCAAGCGATCGGTTGGACGCACGTCTGGGGTCACAGAAGAATCACATATGCACGGACTCTGTTCTCGCTAGAGTGGCGCGTCACGCTAAGAAAGCGCGACGCCATGTGTCATTCGCTCATCCACTTGCTCTCGCCTTGGTCTTAAGCTCTATACTACTGTACCACGCTCCACCTGCCAGAGCGAGCAGGATGCCCGCGCCGTTCATCGGACTGACAGGCACGTCCCACAAGAAGGCTCCCAATACGATGGTCAGACATTGCTTGAGATTTGCACAGATGGTCAAGGTCAACGCGCCCGCCAGCTTGTTCGTCTCGAAAGACGCGACATTGAGGCCGAATGCGAGCAGGCCGTTGCCCGAGACTGTCAGAATCCTTTCCCTTGTAAAGTGTCCGGCATTCACAAAAGCAATAAATTCCGAGAATTCGCCAATGAGCACCGAGTACAGCAGAGATTGCACTGCGGCCAGGGGCCCCATGCGGAGGAGCAGCTCCAGAGCGGGTAGTCGCAGGCGCCCCGTCATCAAACGGTTGGTAACAACGGTCTATTTTGAGCTGTTAGCATCCTTCACGAGAACGTGCATAATCCTTCGGGTCTTACTTACCTTTATGGCAGCGAGGACCACACCGATGAGTGTCAGGGTAAATCCAATGGCGGTGAAGTAGTAGTCACCAAAGGTAGCCAGTCCGACGCCTAGCATTACCGGGACGATGGACAGATACGTGATCAGTGCATATCTTCGGGAGAAAATAACACGGTATATCAAAATGGTAAAGAGCGGGCATGTCGCTCGCATGATTTGGTGGAAGGGAACAGAAACCATGGCTCTTTGCGAAGTTATTAGCGTACGAAGATGTATGTAAGGTAATGGAAACTTACAACGACAGATTTGACATTGCAATGTTCAGCGTGAACAAGAGCGAGAACATGAAATGGACCAGATGCTCGCGCGGCGTCAGCCTCGTTAGCTGGAAATGCCCGAACATCAAGAAGACTGAACTTCCAAGAGCAGCACTTCCGGTATGTACCGCTGTGAGAATCCACGGGAACGGAAACTGGGTATCTCGTTAGCTAAATCGACCCCTCGTATCTGCTCCTGCTACATACCGAACCCATAACAGCTTTGTTGTAAAATGTGAGACTTAAGTTCATTATGAAATAAGTCGCCAGGTATATGAACATCTTCGTGCTACTGGCAGCTGGCTCTGTAGGACGCTGAGAAAGCACATGCTTTCCATCTTGTTGGCCTTCGAGGTCCAGTAGCGGTTCATTCTCCTTGAAATCCAGTTCAACAGGATATTGCTCGTCGGTTTCGGCCACTTGCTTGGGTACAGGCTCAGCCTGAGCCATCCCGAATTTCTCCATGATGTTGTTGTCTTTGTCGGTCGACGTGAGGAAGGAGTCGTGTGCTACCTCGCGATGAGGCGTTTCGACAGTCTAAGGGGTGTTCAAATTCAGGTGGCTGAACCGGTATCTGATCCGACAAGTATTAGTTGAAAGAGATTATAGCGTCACTGTGGCTAGGGCCAACAAAGTCTCTTCGCGTCTAATCCTCAACCACGACCGGATAATGCTGCGGTTGGCCGACACCTTAGCTCCTTCGCATGCCTGTCTGCCCAGGACCCGCTGAGAACGGTGTGTGCCGTGTCACCCGATAGATCCGGGTAAGGTGTGGCTGTCGGGGACCGGAGTTAACACTGCATCTCAAGCAAGGGCGAATAATGTGTAGTGGCTGCACGTGTGCGCTGGCCCGCTGAAACTGTGCTGACCATTGACTGCGCCATGAAGTCCAACTAAGCCATAGTCTAGGCACAGTGGCTTCTTCCGCTGTAATCATGCGTTGCCGGGTTCCGATATTAGCAGAATAAGAACAGTGCCTATGGGTTAGTGTCCTATGGCACTTGGCTCCTCTGCGCGTTCTCTGGGGCGGAGCGAAAAACTGCGTAACTCGGGGCGGAGCTTGGAGTCCTGCAACAGAACTAACTGAAAAGCTATGCGCATAGCCATAGTGGCCAAAATGCGAAATCGATGTCAAGCCTCGCCGAGTGGTGGAGTACTCGTGCTAAGGATTACATCACAAAGATAACATGCGACGTTACTAAAAAGGCCCCGGCTGACTTGGCAGGCACCCCATCAATTGATCCTTGTGGCGTCCCCGGTACTTCCGTCACGCTAGCGCTCACCTCCCAACCAAGCGTTTCCTAACCGTCCGATACTTTCAGGCCCATCCTCGGCACCAGTAGTTGCCAAAATGAGATCGTGTAAACGATAATAGAAGATGCCGATAGCCGTCCAGGCGACCATGAGGATCTTCGGCCGCTCGGTCCGTAACTATGGCTGGTGGATACTTCATCCAACATCTCGATACCCTTGTGTACCTATAGGTATCCGGCTCACTTCCACAGAGACTTCTTTGTCCTTGTCCCGCTCAATTACCAGGCACCCTATTGTACACTCGCTTTGGCAAACTTTCACACACTCCTCATGTCTAGTCACACACGGCAAGATGCGCCAACCCCAGCGCCCTCATACCGCTCCACCCATGAGTCCAAATTATTCGGACGCATAACCAAGATATGTTGTATCGGTGCAGGATACGTGGGAGGACCGACTTCGGCAGTCATGGCGAACGCCAATCCCGACATCCAGGTGACGGTGGTCGATTATGACAGCAAGCGCATTGCTGCATGGCAATCTGAAGAACTCCCCATCTACGAACCTGGCCTCATGGATGTGGTTAAGCCAGCCCGCGACGGCATCCCCAACAAGCGAACGCCAAACCTCTTTTTCTCAACAGATGTCGACCGCGGCATTGCCGAAGCCGAACTCATCCTCTTGAGCGTCAATACCCCCACCAAGACGTTGGGTCAGGGTGCCGGACATGCAAGTGAACTTTCCTATTTGGAGTCTGCTGTGCGGAAGATTGGTGCTGTTGCTACAGACAACAAGATTATCGTGGAGAAGAGTACTGTGCCATGCCGGGCGGCAGATACGCTGCGGGATGTTCTGCGAGCAACGAGTAGACCTGGCGTCGAGTTTGAGATCCTATCAAACCCTGAGTTCTTGGCCGAAGGAACCGCTATCCAAAATCTCTCGAACCCTGATCGCGTTCTCATCGGCTCTCTCAAGACTCCCCATGGGTTGGCGGCTGCACGAGCTCTTTCTCAAATCTACTCAGCTTGGGTCAGCCCAGATCGCATCATCACGATCAACTTGTTTAGCTCCGAACTGGCCAAGCTAGCTGCCAATGCACTGCTCGCTCAGCGGATCAGCAGTGTCAATGCACTGGGTGCCATGTGCGAGGCAGTAGGCGCCGACATCGATGAGGTGTCCTATGCCGTTGGATTGGACAAGCGCATTGGGTCTCGAATGCTCAAGGCGTCGGTCGGCTTTGGTGGCTCCTGCTTCCGCAAAGACATCTTGTCCCTTGCATACATCGCAGAGTCCCTGAACCTGTTTGAGGTCGCCGCTTACTGGCGATCAGTAGTCGACATAAACGAGTACCAGAAGGACCGATTTACCCGCCGCATAGTGCGATGCCTGTACAATTCGCTTTCGAACAAGACGCTTGCCATTCTTGGCTTTGCATACAAGAAGGACACAGGAGACACTCGCGAGTCAGCAGCTATCACAGTCGTCAACAACCTACTCGCTGAAGGTGCCAACGTCAGGATCTACGACCCACAAGTCAAGGAATCGCAAATACTGCACGATATCGAGAGCAGTAACCCGAGTCCGCAGAGCATCAAAGGCAGACTCACGGTCTGCTCCTCGACTTACGACGCGTGTACCGACGCCGACGCCGTGGTCATATTGACGGAGTGGGACGAGTTCAGCAACAAGCAGCCTACGAGAAGCGGGCACGTTCGCGGCGACTCAGTACACAACGGTGATGTGGATACAATGCGCAAGGAGATATCATGGAAGCGCGTTTCGCAGGTCATGCGCCGTCCAATGTACGTCTTTGATGGACGTAACGTCGTCGATCCTGTGCCTCTCGAAGCTCTGGGTTTCCGGTACGAAGGTGTTGGTAAATCGAGGGGGTTGTAATCGGTCTGAATGTTCAATGTCGAGATATCCAATTTGCTTATTTACTTAATGAGGTGTAGACTCAATACCCAGGTTCGGCGTTGGTCAACCGCTGTTGCAGCAATAGACGGTAGGATAGTAGCTCTACCTAGGTAGTAATCAGCTTGCTATTCCGATGCAGATCCTTCAAGATGTTCTCTCTCACGTCGTCTCAGCTGGTTGACTCCTTCAACCGTGGCAGTAGTTTGTTAGTGCTGCGAACGTCGTTGGTGATGGGGCAAGGTTGTACGCGTCAACTGGTGAGATGTTGCCCCACCTCGCATCCATCGTGTTTTGGGTTAGCGCTGTACCTGGACCCCTGGACGCGCGCGCCCCCGGGGCCGCGCCTGGCAGGCGCCTTCCAGCCCAACACGCTTCGCACTTCCCCAAGGGATCAATCCTGCCCCATGAGCACTGTAGCACGACTATCGCAACATTCTGACTCTCGAATGCAAAGATCAATTCAGTCTCAGATTTCGGCATGCTCACTTCGAATTCGGCTCTTGCCTCGCATCGCACACGTTTCGTGGCGCTTCTGCTGTACGCGCCTTCGGCGAATGACTTTTGCAGTAACCCATGTCGATGCATCACAAGTCGTCACAGCCTTGCTGCGCCGCACGCCTGCATAAATCGAGTCCTGCCTGTTCGCAGACCCCGCGATGAATTTCTCGTCGTTGGGTGCTCCTTGCTTAGAATCTTTGTCTCCAGTTAGTCTTCCCGTCTTACCCGCAACGCCATGGCGGAACTCGCAGCTGTTGGAGTCGCTGCCAGCATAATCCAGGTTATCGACATCAGCGTTAGGGTGATTGAGCGTCTCAACGAATATCGCAAGAAAGGGGACAGTCTTCCGGACGCTTTCAAACATGTCAGCACACGGCTACCGATATTCGTTCTTGCACTGAGAACTACCAACTCAAAGATCGAAGACATGACAGATGACGCGAGGAGGGCAATGAAGCCAGCAATAGAAGAATGCTTCAATCAGATCAGAAATTTGGAGATGATCATCGATAAGGTCTTATTCAAACCGGGTGATAGAGGGACTACGCGAGGATGGAAATCCGTCGCGAGTGTGAGATACGACGGCGACGTGAAGGAACTGGACAAAGTCATACGAAGATACATGGAGGCAGTGCATTATGGGCTTTCGAGTGCGACACAACATCTGGAGAGTATGTCTGTAATACTTTCGAGCTTCATCGCAAAAACTTGGCTAATGTCTGCGTCGTAGATAAGAAACTGCCACCGAAACCAATGAGTACATGCCCATTCGAACGAGAAGCAGACTTCGTAGAGCGTGATGTGATCAGCGATGTCATGATACGGTGTCAACCTGGCTCAAGGTTGGCTTTGATAGGCATTGGCGGCGCTGGGTACGTGCTCCGATTGTCGCGGCTGATGATCAGCCCGCGAAATGGGACTCTAACACTGCTCGCTTACTTACCATTGTTACAGTAAGTCTCGGATAGCTATTGAGTACAATTATCGCATACGACAAGCCTCGCCAGATACTTGGGTATTTTGGGTAACGTTCGATACGCCAAATGCTGTCGCTCAAGATTTCCGCAAAATAGCGAAGGCGGTCGGTCTTCCAGGTTGGGACGAAAAGGCGGCAGACATTTTTGGCATGGTCCGAGATTGGCTCCGAGATGAGTCCAATGGACCGTGGACGATGATATTGGACAACGTTGACTCCGTTGACGTTCTTACTGCAACCACACCGAAAGCCGCATCCAGTATGAGTATGGACGACGTTTCAGTCATGCCGGAAATCCGCGATTTTATAGTCACTTCGGCTAGAGGATCCGTTCTCGTTACGTCGAGGAATGCCGAGGCAGCACAGATGGTTACCGGGAATTGTGCCTACCACATTGACGTAGAAGAGATGAACGAGAATGAGGCAATCACACTACTCAAGAGAAAGCTCAGTAGCAAGGTCATCCATACTGAGGCCGAAGCTGCCGAACTGGTTAAGACGGTCGACTTTATGCCATTAGCCATATCTCAAATCGCGACAAACATCAGCATGAACTATCCAAGGCTTACGGTGTCGAAAGCGACCGAGAAGATCCGCGAACCAAGTGAGGAGACGGCGCAATTATTGGAGACAAGTGCTCACGAAACGAGTCGCAACGCACGGAGGACGAATTCGATCGTCAAAACTTGGCACCTGTCATTCCAGTATGTTAGCCGGACACACCCTTCAGCTGCAAGGCTTCTTTCGCTGATGTGTTTGTTCGATCGACAGGGCATTCCGGAGACGCTTCTCACCGGGCAATACGGCGAGGAAGTCATAGCCGCAGCCACCCCACTTCAGCCCCACCTCAGTTGGTGGAAGCGAATCAGACGACGGCGGTCGCATCTCATACGGCGCAGGCGTGCGGCTGAGAAAAAGGCAACGGGCACTATAACATTCAATGCCTCTTCCTTTGACGAGGACTGGAAAGTCCTTACGAATTTTGCACTCATCAAAACGAACTTGGATGGATGCCATTTTAACATGCATCGGCTAGTGCAATACACTACCAGAAGGTGGCTGGACCTCAACAGACAGCTGCGAGCCTGGACACAGAGATATATCACCATCATCAGAGACCGCTTCCCAAATCCTGAACATGAAAATTGGAAGATCTGCCAGTATCTTTTCCCACATGCTCAGCAAGCCGCCAGATATCGCCCAGACAACAAGACAGAGCTTCTGATGTGGGGACCGCTCATCCAGATGGTGTCACGATTTGCTTACATTATGGGAGACTACACGGCAGCGGAAGATTTGGGTCGCAAGGCACTAGCGGCACTTGAAGAAGTCCAAGGACCGCATGGAGAAGACGTCCTTCGCGGTTTCCATCAGCTGGGCCTTGTGCTCAGCATTTTCAAGCGATACAACGAAGCAGAGGAGATGTTTCGAAAAGCGTATAGCGGAAGACTAGCTTCCCTGGGTCCCGACCATCTAGATACCCTAGACAGTGCGAACAATCTGGGGTCTCGATTGAACATGCAGAAGAAGTATGAGGAAGGAGAGGCCTTCCACATGCGCACCATTGAGGGATACGAGCGGGTTTACGGACCCACCAGCACAGAAACTCAGTCACTCATGGCCAGGCTTGCGCTCGTGTACATCAACAACGGGCGTTACGAACAGGCAACAGCGCTTCATCGAAGAGTTCACGGCATACAAGAAGAAGAATACGGCAAAGGAACTAACGATACCTGTCATGGTCTGCGCGCCTTGGGTGTTCTACTCAGCATGCAAGGCAAAGCAGCTGAGGCTGAGAACATACATCGTCAAGTTGTGCGTTTTCGATCGGACAAGCTGGGTCCCGAACACTACGAAACGATCACGAGTGTCAACCTTTTGTGCGAAGCGCTCGTCAAGCAAGGCAAACTTGATGAAGCTGTGGCGCAATGGTGTGGCGTTGTTGGAATCTATACCGACCTCGATGAAAAGGCACGAAAAGAAGCGTTGCAGAGCATGAACAGCCTCGCTGAGACGCTCCTTCAACAGGGTCAACTTGAAGAAGCAGAAACAGTCTCCCGTCGCCTGGTCACAGAGAGCGAGAAGCTCCTAGGGGCAGATGATGTCGAGACGCTTGTTGCCGTTCATACACTTGCAGACGTCTTCAAGAAACAAAAGCGATACAAGGAGGCTCTGCCGTTGTACGCGCACGCTCATGTCGGCACTGAGAAGCGTTGTGGTGTCGATCATCCTGATACAAAAGAGTTTTTGGAGGATTTCAATCAAATGAAGAGGACTGTGCTCGTGTAGCGGCTCAAACACAGTTGGCTTTTATGCACCGCTCAGCCCTGGAACTTTTTGACCGTTGTTTCGCGTGCAATCTTTATCGCACATCTTTCTTCGCCCTGTTGTCTCATCATGCCCTATTTGCATGTTAAGTGCATCGCCTACTTGCAGGCATACAGGTCGTACGAGATGCAGTGGTAATGCTTTACTTCGTCATTCATAGCGGTGTCCTGTGGTTGTTTAGTCGACGTGAAGAGAATTCCATGAGAACGTTATATCCATCCTTCGATTGTACAGTCCTTCAAAAGTTCTCGCAGAATCTTCATCCCTGCGGGTAGCGAAGTTATGTATTGGAATCGACGTAGTTGTAAGAGCAGTGACGCAAGTCGAAGTGAATGTGACTTCAATCGAAGAAAAGTCCCACAGTAGAAGCGGATCAAGAACCCATGGACCTTGCACCTGACCTTAGCACACCTGTCCCCAAGCTTTTGGAATATAACAACAACACTACCAAGCGCCGGAAAGACATCGTCGCAACTGCACTGCTCGCAAGCTCGAATACCAGGATTCGTTTTTCAACTTCGTCACTTTTCGGCCATCAAGCGCACATCTACCTCAGTCGCGCGACCCCACAGGCTCATGGCGACATCGCTACAAAAGGTCGAACCCAAAGCCTCCGCGCTCTTATTGCCGTACGAGATCGAACTCTACAAACGCTGGCGCCAGTCCGCCTTTGATATCGCCATCGAAGACGATGACGACATCCTCCTGCCCACCGCATTTGAGTACATGGATTTCGTAGAGTGGCGCGCCAGACAATGCGAAAAACTCGATGGGACTTCAGAAGCGGAGAAGAAGTCGCCAGATCCAAGATTCGCGGGATACGCACTGGCGGAGCGATGTGGACACCCGCTACACCCCGGAGATCCACGTCCAGATGCTCAACGGCAACAGGAGAATGGGGAAGAGGAAGAAGGCGAGGAGCATGAGGATATCGCATGGTGTTCAATGTGCGTATTGCAGATTCATCTCAAACTGCTTGGCGAGCTCTGGGACAAGTGGCTGGACTCTGGTGGCCCATGGCGCCTCTTGCGTCCCGGCTCGACAGTGGAGGGCTTCCACAGTAGCAAGCGAGCGTACTATAAGCGAAAGACCGACTTGATCAACGATGTTGATAGCTTGGAGGACATCGCGCGTTTGGAAGCTGCCTGGGAGGCTGCGCATCCTGCTGCGGACGTTGAGGTCGTGCATCCCTACAGCGCTAGAACAGCAGTGGATGTATACGCGAAGGGTGTTCAATTTCCTGCACGCTTAGCAAACGCCGATGACAGTGCTCTACGAACTCCAGCATCTAAGAGCAAGAATAAGCGCCTTTCGTATTCCCCAGACACACCAGAGGATACCCGTCATCGCTCAAGTACCTTCTTTGCCCGAAAGTGCATAGCCTATGATGCAAATTCCCAGTATCGTTGTCCTGACGATGAAGGATGGGCCGAAACCTCGTTCATGAGCAGCTGGGAGTACAATGTACGACAGTGTCGCACACTGCTTTGCGATAAAGACCCTTCCCAACAAGATCCTTCCCAACCGACTGTTGTCTATCGCGAAGTCACCGATGACGTGTCAAAGGACAACCTCATCAAGGGTATCGAAGAATGGCTCGGCAAGATGGAGGATGACTGGAAGCAGCCCTGGATCGATTCCTTGCTTAACACAACCGACATCTTCGTTGTCTGGAATGACTCATCCTTTGATGATGCATGCGACAACGACTTCAACAACTGGGACAGGGTCGAAACACTTGTAGGAACCAGCCTGGAGATCCATGCGCGACTGATTGGTGATATCAGAGAGGAAGATTTGGAAACAGAGCAGGGCCAGTCGAGCGCTGATGCCCAACCACTTGAAGGAGAAGACGTTGAAGACTTTTTCGACCAAGACTTTCTCGCGCCTGAGTCTGATTCGGATTCTGACGACGAGTCCGAACTTTCTGATCCTATGGATTTAGAACACGAAGAGACCGACGTGGATGTTGAGATTGCTGGCTAAGAACATAAACCCAGTCACGCGACATCGGAGGAAGCCTTTGGAAGTCGAGATTGCCGACTTGACTAGGTGTCTGAAGATTAAGGCTGAGTTTCAACAGCAGAGAGTGATATTGGGATGTGCAAAATTTGTTCTCCACATGACTTGTAAAGAGTATGCGGGATTGTATGTATCAAGTACGGAACCCAGGTATAAACGCCCGAAGAGAGATGAATCAGCCAGCAAAGTGAACCCGTTAATTTACATGACGATGCAGCACGAGTTTTGCTTCTTGGCCTGGTATATGAATTAGTAACTGGCAGGATTGGTCCGCATATAGCTCCAACATACCTGTGTATAGAACATCTTACTCTGTGCGCTCAATCCGTCACTCTTCTGCACCAGGTTGTCAATCTTCTCGCCTCGCTCTAGAACACTCTCGATGGTCTTGTGCAGGACAATCTTGGTCTCGTCTAGCTCCTTCTGAATCTTCATGATGCTGTCCGCCTGCTGTGGGTCCTGGTACTTTTGAATGTAATCCTTCAGCTCAGGGAACGACATGTTCGGGCTGTCCTTCGTGGCGGACGAGTATGCGGACTTGGGGTATTTGGATACGAATTCGTCGAGGACTTTGGAGAGTAGCTGATGTGCGACGAGCTTAGGGTATTCGAAATCGGTGATGATGATGCCGCAAACGCCTTCGGAGCGTCCGTATGCGTGGAAGATGTAGTCTGCGCGTGCTGTTAGGCGAGTAGAGGTTGCACATATCAGATGGCATACCTTTCTCCTCCACATCTTGTCTTTGCCCAGGCTTTGTCCGTTCGGCAACCTGTCCCGCGAAGAACGACATCTAGGTACCCTATCAGCTCGACTGTCTTTCCCACCCTGTTATCGTCCCAGGCGATCTGCTTGGCCTGGAACATTGTCGTCACGTACGAACTCGCTGATGCTTCCTCGTGTGAATCGCCCGTAAGAGCTGAGCTCGCGCTCGCACGTCAGCTCCACCGTGGGTTTCGTCTCATTCTTCCAAACCTGCATGCGATGCGTGTCAGCGACCTGTGGCGGCGTCATGAAGGCGGTGAGAGAGTACTTACGCCGATATAGACGACCTTCATGTTGGCGATTTGATATAAAGGGTGTAGGTAGATGTGAGTGTAGAGTGAGAGACCAAAGTGAAGGCAGTAGGTATGGGTCTTGCGACTATCCGGTCTCGAAAGAGGTGCCTGCGACAGGCGTGTGGTAGCGCATCATGCGTCGGTACCGCCAGCGAGCGCGCTCCTGATTATGTCATGCCGCTAATGCGCGGGGGCGGGGCAGGTCCAGCCGAATCCAGGACACTCACCCATCATCGATTCTGCCAAGCCTGACGCAGAGGCAATCACGCTTTCCATCGTGAAGAGCGCTCCAACCAGCGCACCTGGATCATATCGACCGCCAACGTTCGGACAAGCTGTAATGATGTCGCCCGCCGTCGAGGACGCCCAGGCGCAATGGCTCGAGCAGCTCGACGCCATGCGCAAAGCCATCGCCGAACTCAATCTCCCTGCCGATACTGAGAAGGCGCCAGCCTACGGAGACGACCTCGATTTCGATGATGATGACTTCTCTGGAACTGTCAGCGGCGAAGATATCTGGGACATCATCAGCGACGAGTATGAAGAAGAGTTCAGCAGTGATCACCTCGACCAATTTCCCGATGGCCAAGTTGGTGGCGAGGCTTACAGCCAGCAATGGCTCGCCGAGAAATGCTCTTCAGTAGCCCAAAATGGTTCCGGTCTAGATTCTGGAGCGTTGAAGGAGCAGATCACCGCGATCCTGTCAAGTGACAGCAATGGTGAGGCTTTATGCCAATACTCGATATCTGCAGCATACTGACTATGAATAGACGAAGAACTACAGATGATGCTCGCAGACATTGTTGGCTACGGGGAGTTGGACCTTGTGGCCGAGCTCATATCCCATCGCAAGGACATCATGCGATCCTTGCATAACACTACTCCCGCTCAAAGCAATGGTGCCATGGGCCGTTTACAGACCCGAGCCGAACGCGAAGAAGCGTTGCGCCGGGCGGATTGGGAGCACAAGACCGCCGCGTTGGCACCTTCTATGGACCGAACAGGGCCCCAGTATCCCCACGTTTATCGGACTCACGAAGCCGGCAACAAGCTCTCGGCTTATGGCAAGAAGTACGCGCTACCTCCGGATACTGAGCATCGCGACAACAACCTGTATGAAGAATATGAAATCCCCGCAGTCCCGGTAGGTACTGTCGGCGTCGGCCGAAGGCTTCTCGAGATCCAGGAATTGGACGGCCTCTGTCAGCGTACCTTCAAAGGCTACAAATCCCTCAATCGCATGCAGAGTCTGGTGTACCCAGTCGCTTACAAAACCAGTGAGAACATGCTGATCTGCGCACCTACTGGTGCTGGTAAAACAGATGCCGCCATGCTCACCATTCTTAACACCGTAGCCAAGAATGTTGTGCCGAACCCCATCGACGAGCCTGAGGCGACCGACTTTACAGTCATGATGGAAGACTTCAAGATCATCTATGTCGCGCCCATGAAAGCGCTCGCTGCTGAAGTCACAGACAAGCTTGGAAAGCGCCTAGCGTGGTTGGGTATCAAGGCTCGCGAACTGACTGGTGATATGCACCTTACCAAAGCCGAAATTTTGGACACCCAGATTATAGTTACTACGCCAGAAAAGTGGGACGTGGTAACGCGAAAAAGCACTGGAGACACTGAGCTGGTACAGAAAGTACGTCTGCTCATTATCGATGAGGTTCACATGCTTCACGACGAGCGCGGCGCTGTATTGGAAAGCTTGGTAGCGCGTACTCAGCGACAAGTGGAGAGTACACAATCACTCATCCGGATTGTCGGTCTCTCGGCGACCTTGCCCAACTATGTCGACGTAGCCGACTTTCTCCGAGTCAACAAGATGGCCGGTCTGTTCTACTTTGACGCTTCATTCCGTCCTGTACCTTTGGAGCAGCACTTCATCGGCGCCAAGGGCAAGCCAGGCACTGCGAAGTCACGTGAGAACGTGGAGAGAGTGGCCTATGACAAGGTCGTCGAAATGCTCAAACGGGGCCACCAGATCATGGTCTTTGTGCATTCGAGGAAAGACACCGTCAAAACAGCTAGGCGATTATACGACATGGCTATGGAAGAACAGTGTACCGATCTATTCGATCCGCAGGACCATCCTCGTTATGAAAATGCTGTACGCGATATGAAGCAGTCGAAGGGCCGAGAATTACGCGAGCTACTTGGAAAGGGCATGGGTACTCACCATGCCGGTATGCCTCGTTCTGACAGAAACCTGATCGAGCGCCTTTTCGCTGAGGGCGTTCTAAGAGTGCTCTGCTGTACAGCGACATTAGCTTGGGGTGTCAATTTACCCGCGGCAGCCGTCCTCATCAAGGGCACCCAAGTTTACAATGCACAAGAAGGTAAGTTTACCGACTTGGGCATCTTGGATGTTCTGCAAATTTTTGGTCGTGCCGGTCGACCCCAATTCCAGGATACGGGTATTGGCTTCATTTGTACGACACACGACAGGCTGGATCACTACATGCGCGCCGTAACTGAGCAACAGCCTATCGAATCCAGGTTCTCCGCAAAGCTCATAGACAATCTCAATGCCGAGATATCGCTTGGTACAGTGACTACGGTCTCTGAAGCTGTGACTTGGCTCGGTTACTCTTACCTCTTTGTACGGATGCAGAAGAGCCCGCTGATGTATGGCATTGAATGGAATGAGATACGCGACGACCCACAGCTTGTCGGGAGACGTCGCAAGCTTATCATCGATGCCGCACGAATCTTGCAGAGAAGTCAAATGATCATCTTCAACGAGACCACAGAAGATCTGCGAGCGAAAGATGTCGGGCGTATTGCGAGTCAGTACTACGTCCAGCAATCAAGTATAGAAATCTTCAACACAATGATGCGACCTCGTAGCACAGACGCGGATGCTCTGGCTATGGTCAGCATGAGTGGCGAGTTCGACCAGGTACAATCACGCGAATCCGAGGAGAAGGAGCTTTCGGCACTCAAAGAAGAAGGGCATGTCATCACACAAGTTAAGGATGGGTATGCTACTTCGCATGGAAAGACAAACTATCTTCTCCAAGCTCACATCTCGCGAGCACGACTGGAAGATTTCACCCTGGTTTCAGACACGAACTATGTGACCCAGAATGCAGCACGTATCGCGCGTGCGCTATTCATGATTGCGCTTAATAGGCGCTGGGGTTACCAGTGTCAGGTACTGCTAAGTCTTTGCCAATCTATCGAACATCGATGCTGGTCTTTCCAGCACCCACTGCATCAATATGATTTGCCGCAGCCAGTCTTGCGCGCGCTCGATCACAAATATCCGTCGATACAAACCCTGCGCGAAATGGATGCAACCGAGATCGGAGACCTGGTACATAACAAGAAGATGGGTGGCGTCATCTCAAAGCTCATGAACAACTTCCCGACCTTGAGCATTGAATCTGAGATCGCTCCGCTCAACAGAGATGTGCTCCGCATCCAGCTGTTCCTCACGCCCGACTTTGTCTGGAACGATCGTCACCATGGTACTTCCGAATCGTTCTGGATCTGGGTCGAGAACTCGGAAACATCTGAGATTTACCATCACGAGTTTTTCATCCTGTCGCGCCGAAAGCTCTACGATGATCACGAACTGAACTTCACGATCCCACTTTCTGATCCTTTGCCTACGCAAGTATACGTTCGCGCCTTATCTGATCGATGGTTAGGCGCCGAGACTGTCCACCCCATATCCTTCCAACATCTCATTCGGCCGGACACAGAGAGTGTCTATACCGACCTGTTGAATCTTCAGCCTTTGCCGATCGCTGCTTTGAAGAACCCACTGTTGGAGGAAGTCTACGCGCAGCGCTTCCAGTACTTCAACCCTATGCAATCGCAGATCTTCCATTGCCTATACCACACACCTGCCAATGTCTTGCTTGGATCACCGACAGGTAGTGGCAAGACCGTTGCTGCGGAGCTCGCAATGTGGTGGGCGTTTCGTGAGAAACCCGGCTCGAAGGTCGTATACATCGCCCCTATGAAAGCACTTGTTCGCGAGCGAGTTCAGGATTGGGGCAAGCGTCTAGCTGGGCCAATGGGCCTCAAGCTTGTTGAGTTGACTGGTGACAACACTCCGGACACACGCACAATTCGGGATGCCGATATTATCATTACGACGCCTGAGAAATGGGACGGTATCAGTCGTAGCTGGCAGACTCGTGGATACGTTCGTCAAGTCAGCCTGGTCATCATCGATGAAATCCACCTACTGGGCGGTGACCGTGGCCCAATTCTGGAGATCATTGTCTCTCGTATGAACTATATCGCATCACAGAAGAAGGACGGTTCCATCCGACTACTTGGCATGTCAACTGCTTGCGCCAATGCTTCTGATCTCGGAAACTGGCTTGGTGTCAAAGAGGGCTTGTTTAACTTCCGCCACTCTGTGCGTCCAGTACCGCTGGAAATCTTTATCGATGGCTTCCCGGAGCAGCGTGGCTTTTGTCCTCTCATGCAATCGATGAACCGGCCTACCTTCCTTGCCATCAAAGCTCATTCACCGGAAAAGCCAGTCATCGTTTTCGTAGCCTCGCGCCGACAGACACGTCTAACGGCTCGTGATCTGATCAACTTTTGCGGCATGGAAGATAACCCAAGGCGCTTCCTACGTATGTCGGAAGACGATTTAGCACTCAATCTCGACCGGGTAAAGGATGACTCGCTGCGCGAGGCACTAAGCTTTGGTATAGGCTTGCATCACGCCGGTCTTGTCGAGACTGATCGATCGCTCTCAGAAGAGCTCTTCGCGAACAACAAGATTCAAATCCTAGTCGCTACCAGTACGCTTGCATGGGGCGTGAACCTGCCAGCTCATCTTGTCGTCGTCAAGGGTACACAATTCTTTGACGCAAAAACGGAAGGGTACAAAGATATGGATCTCACAGATGTGCTGCAGATGTTGGGTCGTGCTGGACGTCCTCAATTCGATGATTCAGGCATCGCGCGTATCTTTACGCAAGACGCAAAGAAAGAGTTCTACAAGCATTTCTTGCATACTGGATTTCCCGTCGAATCATCACTGCACAAGGTGCTGGACAACCATTTGGGCGCCGAAATCTCTGCTGGTACCATTGCTACGAAACAAGACGCGCTAGATTACCTGACTTGGACGTTCTTCTTCCGTCGTCTGCATAAGAACCCGTCCTTCTACGGCCTAGAGATCTCTGCAGAAGAGCACAACACGATTGCTGCACAGTCGCTGGCAAATGACTACATGGTTGAGCTAGTGGAGACTTCCCTCAGCGAACTGGACGAGTCCTCTTGCGCTATCGTTGAGCCAACGGGCGAAGTTGATCCAACACCACTCGGCAAGATTATGAGCTACTACTACCTCAGCCACAAAACGATCCGCTACCTTGTAAAGAATGTCAAGCGCAACGCAACCTTCGCGGATGCTCTGGCATGGATCTCTCACGCCACCGAATACGATGAGCTACCTGTTCGCCACAACGAAGATCTTATCAACGCCGAGCTTTCAAAGGCCCTTCCCATCCCAGCAGATGACTTTGGTCTACCCTTGTGGGATCCGCATGTCAAATCTTTTTTGCTTCTACAAGCCCACTTCTCGCGCATCGACTTACCAATTTCTGATTATGTCGGCGATCTGAACAGTGTGTTGGATCAGAGTATCCGTATTGTACAGGCCTCGATTGATGTACTCACTGAACTGGGCTACCTCTCCTCGTGTGAGACAATGATCGCAATCCTTCAGGCTATCAAGTCAGCGCGCTGGCCAACTGATGGGCCATTATCAATCTTCCCAGGCGTGGAAGTTGACAGCGAGAAGAAACGTCTCGAGCATCCTAAGGCCAGTCCAAAGGATCTCATCGAGACTACCACTGCATCGCCCGCCGTGCTCGAACGTACAGCCAAGTTTGCTGGCGTCGCACACACTGGCATCAAGCGTTTCATCGAGCCGGTATCACGCCTGCCAGTACTGAAGCTTGATCTAGGCAATGTCAACGCACTTGCCTTGGACTTTAGAATCTCACGCCAGAACCCGGCCAAAATGCAACAAGGCGGCATACGCATTTTTGCTCCACGCTACCCAAAGCCGCAGACGGAGGGCTTCTTCGCCATTGTATCGTACTCTAGTACGGATGAGATCATCGCCCTGAAGCGCGTCAACTGGCCTGATCCAAATAAGAACGGTGGCCGTGGACGTGGTGGACGCGGCTCAAGTGCGCCTGGTGGTGCACAGTCCAGGTTACAAGCTTCGACTAAGGTCTCATTGCCTCCTGAAGCGCAAGGCAAGAAGGTGAGTATCAGCGTCCTTAGTGATTCATATCCAGGCATGAAGTGGAAGATCGAGGGGGTAGATGTGCCTGAAGCGCCTGTTGTAGATGCATATGGAAAAGGGAAAGAGAAGGCGTAGTAAAGCAAATATAGTGATAATCCTGTTTAGTGCAAATCAGGATTACTGTAGAGGCATGGATAAAGTGTCTCAATGCATAATTCAAAGAAGTAGATATTGAACTACTTCGTCATCCTCCTCCTTGTCTATTCTGTCGCGATCTGCCTTGTAGTCTCTAACATCAACATGCTGCTGCCCTAAGAGCGTACACCCTTCCCTATACGCTTTCTCATACAAACGTCTCGCGTCCCCTCTCTTCCCAGCCTTCTCCATAACAAACCCCAACGTCCAAACGCTCTCCACCGTCGCCTGCTGTAGCCTGCCCAAAAATCTCTCTCTTGCCTCCAAGGTCTGCCGCGCCACTCTCTCCGCTTCCTGTACTGCGCGAGAAGTGCCCTGACATGCAAGGCTGTACGCGAACTCATTAGAGATCTGCATCACCTCTTCATGTTCTTCTGGGAATATCTCTCTATAGCTAGCTAGCGCACGTCGAAATAAAGGCTCCGCTTCCTCGTATTTGTGCTGAGCGACCAGCGCTCTTGCAAATCTGACCAGGGTCTCGGACAATCTTTTGTTGTTATGGGAAAGCGTCTTCTCTGTGTACGCGAGCGCTTCTTTGAGGTACCTTGTGGCTTTCTCAGGGCGCGTGTCGAGTTGCAGGCTTAGACCGATGAGTGCGAGAGCGTCGTACCAGTCGTCGTCGTGGACATCGGGAGGTGTGTTGCGATTACAGAAGGCTGCGTACCATCCTTTGTAGGCATCGTGATAGTAATCTGCTCTCAGGGCATGGAAGGCGAGCTCGTTGCAGCAGCTCTGTACGTCAAAGCCGAGAGCGCCAAATGCAGACATCACGAGTGAGGCCATGGTGTTGGATTGGATGTGCCGACGCGATGTCGCGGTGATGAAGGGATGCGTGGGAATAGCTTGCAATGATGCTTTGAGGATGAAGAGAAAAGAGTCATAGAGATGGATCAGGCGTGTCAGAATAATGAATTCTTGTCATTGACGATAGATGAGTGTCTTTCCGATCACTCACATGTGTGCTATCAAGTCCGCTGCTTCTCTTCACGTCCGCGCCGCGCGACATCTGCCAGCCTTTGTTGGAGACCTGTTTGTATGCTTTGCCTCTCTATCCTCCTCCCCAGACACGGTCCTTCGTGCCTCTGCCTCCTATCTTGGGTATATGTACATGATTCGTAGCGATCGCTTCTTGTGAGGCTGTCTTTGGGTGGTCGCGTAGCGATGAGTGTATGAGGTAGATCGCTGTGGATCAGCTCAGTCGTCGCCAAAGACGATGAAGCTCGCTTCTTCCTCAATCTCGAAGTATGCGCAGTCACTGTCACTGAATTCGCTTTCGCAGTCAGAGTTGTCCTCGTCAGAGTCAACATCTTCCCAGTCACTGTCTCCATCATCCTCCTCGATCTCGCAGGTTGAGTCAAGGACGGCTTGTGACTCCTCTGCCTCAGACCGCGAAGTAATGTTGCTTGACTCGTCTGTTGAGCCGACATGATGTATCTTTCCGTGAGAGTAGTCTTCCGAATCCTCTGAGACATCATCTTCTTGTTCCCCTGCCTCAACAACTGTGTGTTTCCCAGGCTCGTAGCGCGGCGATCGCCTATGGAAGTACGGATTGGGTCGTCCGGGCTCGAAATCGGTGTCCGGGGCAAAGATAACTGCAGCCTGTTTGTTCGATCGCGGTCGCTTTTCTAAGCAACCCGTAGTCTCTGACCAGTATAGCTCCACGGCCTTCGCTGCGGTTCGCACGTCTTCGTGCGCGACCTCTGGATGCTGCGCAGACCATGAAGCTTCTTCTTCGGCCATGAGCTCAAGTCTCGATAGCTCCTTGAGTGTGCCGATCTTCCCCTTGCACCAGGCGCTGTAAACGGTGTGTTGGTGTTCTGAGCTGGTGAGTGTACAAGATGGCGCGCAACCGCCTGCGCTTTCGAGAGCCTCTGACAATACATTCATGTATCTGATGTGCAGGTCGATGATACAGACGGGACATCGTGATTGTAGCTGGCCGGCTGCTACAGGGTGCATAGGATGCTGACATATCGATGCGACTGGCGATTCGAAGGAGGATGACGTTTCCAAAGAACGTCCGTGGGTAATGTGACCGGAGATGTCGTCAAATGGGTCTGAGAAGTATCCAGAGTCTTGTCGTTTCAACCACTGGTGGAAGTCTTCATATTCGCGTGCTGTGGGGATGTAGCCTTGCTCAGCTGGCCTAGTATTCGTGTGCAGACATTGCCATCGCTTGTACTGCTTCAGCTCGCGGGGCGGCATGATGACGCTCGCGGGTATCTTGGTGCAAGCCATGGTGGCGTCGTGTGTTGCGTGGTAAGGGCAGGTCAGTGACCTGCAGGTAGAGAGCAGGACTTGTGGTGCCGTAGACGTGTCGCGGGGCGATGGAGATTGACTGCTGTTGCTGTGTATGCTAGGAGTGTTCACAGTCTCGTCCGACAGATGTAGTGCGTGTCCAGGTGGTCCCTGAGGAAAGTCACGGGTGCAGCACTACCACGGTTGAGCGGTTCGTTTGCGGGGAATGTGACCGCTGGTACCAGGGAAACTCTCGGTTGCGCAGATGTCTTTTGGACGAGCCTCTGTTCGTTCACTGCTGCAAGCACGGTCGTGATGTTTGTGCGCGCGCTGTGAAGGTTGAAGGCGAAGAGTGTTTCGGATCGGTTGGACGTCCTTTGTCACAAGTTGCAACTTGTGAGCGCGACTGTCGCTGCGTTTCCGCTTGAAACGCTCTCCCTCAGTGTCTGACGTCTACGCCAGGAGGCTATAGGTGTATAGAGATGTTCGGAGTGGCAGTGTCGCGCTCAGACGCGGTGACCAGTGCGGACGTCGTCGCCCAACTTCGCGATCTTGGGGAGATTGGAGTACCAGAAAAAGGCCATGATTCTCGGGCAGATATAATCCATTCCTATCGCTTTGCTGGGTGGAGTGGAAATTTCGCGATGTGTCGCGCGGGGGTTGCCGTCGACTTGGGCCGGCGTCGGGTGCGGATGTGGGGGAGGGCGGCTGCTGTGAGGACGAAGGCGGGGCAGACGCGTCTGCTATGAATGACTTGTGAGGCGGCTCTCTGCTGGGCTTCACTGTCGATCGCGAGTAATATCGCGTCTTCAGTGTGGGTAGGGGCGTAGGGGCGTGTGGGTGTGAAAGGGTCAGCTTTCGTGGGCTGGGCTCGACACTATCGAATGGACGGTGCGGGCGTTTCGTCATGACCCCCTGACTCATTTGGTTCGCGCTAGTGCAGATTAGCGCATCATCCTGTCGCTGAGTTCCTCAGCCACACATACGCCACACCACCTCAGACTCACGAATAGCTTGATCACCAGACAAGACATAACTACCTAGGTATGGGATTCGCATACAAAACTACTGCAACAACGCCTATGGTATCAAATATTCCTAGGTCTAGCTCAGCGGCCTCGCAGCCCTCGCCATGAAGCACTGAATCTGGCCCACCTCCTCGCTTGGTAGCTCAATCTCGAAGTTTCCCTGCAGCACCTCAAAGCGGAAATCGACCAACCCAGCCTCCTGCATCATCGATGCCATGTCACTTTCCTTCTGTTGCGGATATTTCGCTTTGCCTGCCTCTTGAGCAGCTTCGCTTACAACGTAGCTGTACAGATCCTGAATGAGAAGGACGCCTCCAGGCTTCAGCCTCTGCCCTAAGAGCCAGAGAGCGTCCTTTGCAGAGGGAAAATGGTGCAAAGCTGCGGCGACTGCGATGAGGTCGAAATCTCTATACTCTTCGCTGTCGAGCGAAGAAGGCTCGATCGGGTCTGACAGCAAGTTGCCGACCGTGCCTGCAATCTTTTCGCGTGTAAGGCCGAATGTGTCTATGTTGTTGATGTACTTCTCAATCATGGCAGGAGATACATCAACTGCGTGTATGGAAGATACGTATGGTCCGAATATCTGATTTACGATCAACGAGGGACCTGCGTATTGTACGCAAGTGTACGAACTTTGCTCTGCAGGGAGGTACGAAGTCAGTATATGTCTCACATGCACTTCGTACAGCTAGAACTTACCATGAACCCGGGCCCGCACGCATAGTCCAGCATGTGCACTGCCTTGCCCGTTCCTGTGCCACCCGGAGGCTTAGCCCAGTCGATGCCTACAAAAGCGATCCCATCGACAATTACACGAGCAATTTGTTGACGGCTGGCCTTGTTTATTGGGCGCTCTTCAAACCAGTCTGACACCTGCCTGACACGCTTTTAGCTGATGCATTACTGCAGCGTCTGCGGATGGTGCAACTCACCCTGTGTCCTTCTCGTGGTGTTGAGCTGACATATTGCTCAAAGGTCTCGCGACACAACGTGATGCTGCGCCTTGCTGTGTGCTTCGCGAAGCGTACTTTATACAAGTCATATTCCACTGAATGCTCCATGAGCACCCCATTGGATTTGCGCTGGCTTGCAAGAAGTCTCCGGCTTCACAGTCGTCGGCGACTTTCAGAAGCACGCTCGGACACATGATGCCCTCAATGAGGCTACAGAAAAAAACATCCGGATAGAGACACAGCGTACGACTGGAGCCGCGCTCCTCCTCTGTAATTGCTTTCATGCCCCACATTCCTTATCGTATCCGTTTTGGTGCGCAAATAATGTCGTACGTTGCTGATAGCATTCAAGTTGACAGGGCCAGCATCGCTAGGTCGGCTCTCCACCAGACGATCAAATCACACATGTTGTGCACCAACCGGTGAGCCTGGTCTGTCATTGAGTCACCACACCTCGTGGAACTCAAGCCTACTACGATGAGCTCAGCCCGAAATATAGTTCGAGCGCGCAGCGCAGACTTTCCGAACAGCCGCAACGTTGTGTATCTGGGTACGTACACATGCCCAACCAGTCACAGCGGCCTTCAGATTAGTCAGTGAGCCCTCGGATATTGGCTTCCTCGGTGAGATTCATAGCTTTGCACATCGGTTGAGTGCATACTCCTCTACCCACTGCTACAATGCGACACCAGGTTCTGGAGGTTGGTTTGCGGGGTTACCGGACGCTCCCGCACGACGCTGCAATTTAGAGGAAGACCTCGCCGTCTGACCCACCACACCTGTATAACGAACGAACGATTTTGTCTCCTCCAGCTGACAGATTCTCGGCTTTTCCGGGCCAAGCGAGATGGTATGGAGCATGACTGGACCCAGCAAATCACGAACCTAATATTAGTTCTGCTTTCAGCCCGACCCTAGTCCAGGGCTGAACTTTGGCTGCTACCGAAAGCCACAAAGCTGCATCTCCGGCGAGAAGGTTATATTCTCGCCATCGAAACAGATGGGCGGATGTATCATGCGATACAGGTCTGTCGTGAGAGCAGTACTGTACAATCATTTTCTTATTGAATCCTTTGGACTATGGAGTGCTTACGGTACTTAGGTAGACTTTCAGCGGCTGAATAGAATCAAATGCTCGGCTCCATTCGCATTACTATGCGCGCGATCGAACCATAACTAGTATCCAACGAATGATAATGTGTTCGCTGAATGAACTCTGGATGCGGTGGTGCTGACAGCAAGCCTCACGAACCCCAATTGGTCCTTGCCATTGCTAGGTACATGCTAACTGCTGTGCTTACTGTTGTGTGGTAGACATACCCTAAACTATGTCCGGATGATCCACGACCCAGAAGCACTCAGGCGCACTCAGGTATGCATGCTACCCTGACCCTACCCGTCAGCACTCCTCTTGCATTTCCTAGAGGCGCAGCTGCATTTGGACCATGTCTCTTGTCCACCCGGCCAGGCTCAAAGCTAGTGAACTCGCTGTTCCGTCAAGATTGCGATCCACCCTTCATACCTAGTACCTTCTATCAGGCAAAATGGATCGACGTGAAGAATACCGCGAGGACATGAGCAGTCCCCAAAGCTATGCCGATAGCCAGTGGAGCCCACCTTCACACTTCCAGGAACACAATCAGATATACCCAGTCGATGGTTCTTCACAACCCTACCCCAACTCGAACACCTCGCCAGCAGTCTCACCCCCACTACCATATGAACAAGAGTACCACCAGTCTCCACAGCCGCAGAACTATGAGGCATACAAAGAAGGGTAAGTCTGATCTTTTCCATTGTCTTTCCAATGTATTCATCACACCGCACGTCCGCTTCTTGGCCCATGATCTAACGCTGTAGCAGGTATTCGACCGAGAAAGAGACTCCGTACAGCACACTCGACCCAATAGGTACGCCTACTCCAGACTTCTCCGGACCTCAAGTGTATGTGCCCTGTAATACCTACTTGTGATACGTACATTGACTTCATCCGCGGATCTGCAGAGTGCCCGGCCAGTTTAGTCACTACCCTCATGGAGGCCGACCAATGTCACCTTCATCGCATGGAGGCACTACCATCACGTCTCCAAATATCCGGCCGTACGGTTTCAAAGAGCATGTCGAATCGTATGAGAGCTACCATGAAGCTGCCCCTCCACCAGTGCCACCTAAAGACGATCGGAGATGCGGCATGAAGAAGCGCCTGTTCTTCATCCTCATCGGGCTCGGTGTTCTTGCACTCATCGTTCTTGGTTTGGGACTCGGTCTGGGCTTGGGTCTAAGGAAGAAGGAGTCGTAAGCTTCAACAAGTGTACTTCTTCATGCACTCGTACGCTGACGCAACGCAGACATAAGGACGTTGTTCATCCGTTCTGTCGCGATAACCCTGAGTCATGCATTGGCGGCTCTCTCAACGCCGAATACTTGTCAAAAAAGGGTGTATTCAGTGAGTACATATCTGCAAGGTGAATGTGAAATGCACACTAACTTTATACCTACTTCCTCCCAGACGGCACTGGTATCGCTCTAGCTGGAGAGTCGTGGAATAAAGGCCAACGACGGATCTTCACGCTTTACTTCCAGCATCATACAGGCGACATCCGTTTCATGCAATACACCACAGACAGGCAATGGATCGGTGGAACCAAAGCTCAGACTGTGGCCAGTGATGCAAAGGACGCATCGCCCATATCCGCGGTCGCGTTCGCCATCAATGAAACCCAATTTGTGAGTACTCTGAAACTGACTTTGACCCCTTCTTAGTCTTCTTCTCGAGTAGATGTACTAACTACGAGTAGTTCCACATCTTCTACATTGACAAGAACAACACAGTCAAGCAACTGACGCAAACCAACGTCACCGACATCTGGGAGCCCGGACCACTCAGCGACCTCAACCTCAAAGCATTCGACTCGCCGACCACTGGGCTGCAGGCGTGCTGGAAGGGTGACTTCTATGGTGACACTGACTTTACAGAATTCCCCACCGCTTCTGATCTAAATAACACAGTCCCATTTACAGGACGAAAGGGCATGGTAAGTTCCATGTTTGTAGAGTGCCTTGAGTTGATACGCTGACACCATCATCATTAAAACAGAACATCTGGTACGCCATCGACGAATCGACGTTTCAGCAATATGCTTGGTACAGTGGCCAAGCGGAGGAAACCTGGATCGCGACTGATAAATGGTCTGGTTTCAATGGCCATGGCGGCGTCGGCTGCTACAGCTGGGGTGCTGGCTCCACATCCTACGCCATGCTGAACAACAAGGACAACGACGTCGAGTTCTGGTGGAAAGACACGAATGAAAACCTCACGTCCACAGAAACCCATCCCATCAACTCGTGGCAAAACGCCACCATAGGCACCATACAGGACGTGTATCCCATCACGTCGCTGGGCTACACAACATACTTTTACGCACAAATGGCGGATCGAAGTATCAGAGGATACAACGTTACGTACCAAGCCGAGAACACGACGTTCCTCGCAAACGAGACGTTTGCTATTACTAATCCCGCCGGCCCAGTGCTTGGGCTTGGGGGTACACATCTCACTGTCACTGCATTTGCTGAGAAGCGTGGGGAGGAGACGGTGTGGGACAGCCTGTATGTCTTTTATCAGACGGAAGGCGATGATATTACGGCTTTCACGCGAGGTATGCTGGGCTTGCCTCCTGATCCAATGCTGTAGTCTTGCTAATACATCTTAGGATTGGAAGGCGGTGAGTGGAATCAGGGACCTTTGCAGATTCCCGATGAGTAGATGTGGAATTCGAGAGCAGGGTTGACGACTTTCGCTTCATGTCAGATTACTGGGCTTTTCATTATCGCAGTCACCGCGACGGCTAGTCCTGGGCGTTTGCGCTGGGGTACCGGCTGGTACAAATATTCTATATCATGATTTTACGAGCTTCACGACAGAGCGTCCATGGTCTCTGGGGTTTCCCCTTTGGAACTGTCGTCCCATTATCCATGTACACAGTAATGTGAGCCCACAGAAGGACGCGGTGTTTTTATTGTTGTGGCCTGTCTGAACACCCTCGATGCGACTGTCCAGGGTGAAACTAGCTCTTGTCCTTCCAAGCACCAGCGTTATAACCAGCAGTAGGCAGTTTTCCTGGAAACGAGTATGGTAAGCGACGGAGCCATTGACAGCGGGCGGATGGTGGTCTCGTCGGGAAGCGAGCGCGTCCATCAATCCTTGAGGCGCGTACCTGCAATGTCTTCCTGAGCGTCTCTGATGAGGAAGCTGGAAGCTATTAGCTTTGAACAATTATTGACATGAGATTCCAACTCACTTGTACCACAAAACGGTCGGCAAAACCGTACCCAGATGCCACAGGCTGTGCGCATCAACCATGCCCATCCAAGGCGGGAAGTCCAACAACTCCAGGCTCATAGCCAAGATGATCCAGGCAACACACAGGCCCGGCCAGACAGCCCAGGTCCTCCCAATCTTCTGATACTGAACGTAACTGAAGCCGCTCCAGAGCAGGTTGGACACGATACCAACAGCGACATTGGCAGCCATGTTGTACGTGTAATCCCAGGACCAGAGCGAGAGGTACAAGACATGCAACGTATACAACGTAATGCACAGTCCTGTCCAGAGCCTCAGCAAGCTCTGTTTCCTCGGCTCCTTCCTGTCGAGTCGGAATACTCTGATAGGCGCATAGTACAGCCCGTACAGAACGTTCGCGCCCGCAGCGAAGTAGTCCAGCTTCTCCGTGACCCCAAAGTCTCTGGTATGGAATATCATGCTGAACGTCCAGCTCGCCAGGCCCACGTAGCCAAACCACAGGTAGTATTTCCGCAGCGGGTACGACGCGGGAATCTTGTCGCGGAGCTGCGACATGCCCCAGTCGTGCGCGAGGTAGTTGAAGAGGGAGAAGATGACGCTAAACGGCTCTTGCATGCCCATGAAGCGGTGGAAGGGCCATTTGCCGTGGAATTGGTAGATGGGCTGCATGTAGGGAGGGTCGCGCGCGAGGCGTTGGGTGGTTATGATGTGTTGGCACGTGTAGTCGCATTCTGAGGGACAGTCCCAGAGGAGCAGGCGGCGGTGGAAGGCTGCGCGTGTGAGTAGGCAGGCGTGTAGGAGGGTATTTGGGGTGTATCGTACGTATTGACGTGCCATCAGGACCGCAATTGGCTTCTTTACACACCTGTCGACGTACTGTCAGTTACATGTCTCAAGTCGGTGAAGGCGCATTCTCTTTGCACATGTCTCCAGCCAAAGCGCAACTCCATCTACACGTACCTGAACACAGTCCTTGAAATCGGGCAGTCTGTCACCCATTGAGGCCTGGGCTGCTCCGCCCAGCAGAAGCAGAACCGCGAGGGTGTGCCATGCAGAGGCTATTCGTAGCTTCATGGTTCACCGATGTGGAGGGCTGCGGCTGCCATGTGGTTTCGTCTCGTGTTCTCAAGTCGCGTGTCTGCGATGGATCGACAGGGTCTTGGCGGGCCGGTAACTCCGTCGTTCCCCTGGCACGTGTGATGGGACGACGACGACATCGAAGCTCGCAGTATGGACATAATGCGCAATAAGTATGGGGTACTGGTGTTTCTAGGCTATTGTCTTGAGGAAAAGAAAGTGGAAAGATGCGTTATAGTCGACGTCCTTACCAGAGCGAAGGCTAACAAGATCTAAAGCAATATACATTTACAAAGTCATTTACTACTGTTTTTATGCTCGCAATACATCATGGCTCGTCGCTCAAACAGTTGCTATCGTGTCGTCTTCAATGTTCAAGATCTCTATCCCCAGTTTGACTCCATACAAACGTATGGTTCGGCCAACAATCGGATACCATTCGGATTCCACATTCCAACAGCCCCACCTTTGGGCCACTGGTTAGAAGAGGAGTTGTTCTTCGGTTGGTTAGTTTGTCGTACGGTGAGGGGCTCATCCCCGCTTCTACCCAACAATGGATACGCTCTAATTCCACAAATCTCCATCAACACCAGTCTTCAAGACTCCAGGGCGTGTGGCTCAGTGGTAGAGCGTTAGTAACCACCCTATACACTCTTACATGCCTCAAACTGACCAATGAAAAGGTCCGCTTTGCAAGTTCTTCGCGCTAGTCTTAGTGCAGAAGACCTGAAAACAATTGCGGAAGGTCCGGGTTTCGGTAAGACAGTGAATTCAACGAGTTCGAGCACAGTTGCTAACAGAATTGTCAGATCACCCGCCCGTCCATATCTTTTTGCCCCCATAGACGTCTCGCATCTAGAACACCTTTATTCGGGAGTGTGGGTGTCCAGCTTTTTATTCTTTTTGCTTAGACAACTTTTGCTCGCCAGATATACCGCTCAAAGAGACAGGCGAATGTTGCTGCTCAACGATCCTACCTTTACCGCATCTACTTGATCCAGAGACGCAAGAAGCAGCGTGTAGGGTTATTCATTAGCTGCTTTTGAACTCAAGTTATACGTGCTAAGATCTATACAGCACGTGGAGCCCGTAAGTTGACATATCGTTCATGTGCTCTTGAACACTTTCGCAGAAGATACGAAAGACTCCTTATCACATTCTCGCCCTCACTCTACTCCCTCCAAAATATGTAGTTCGCTATGCAAAGCCATGTTGATTGACGTGTGTTTCAGCAAACTACCCAAGACACCCGATGGAGCGCAATTGTACCAAGGCAAATTTCCACTTCATCGCCTTACATTTAGAGACTCCAACGAACTCAAAGAATGGATGGCTACACAGAGTCAAATCAAAGTGTGTTGGGAACTGTCAGAATTGCAATCATATACATTTTGTTCCCACACCCATCAACCATCAAGGCAGTCAAAGACTACGCGGCCACGAACATAATGTACTTTTTGCGTACTTTTCATTCCTGCGTTCGCTCTCATGATCTAGCTGAAAAGCATTCGCATTACCACGGAGCTACCAAAGGTGTAGTCCGACAAAACCGTATTCGCCGCCCATGACCCTACGTTGCCTCCTAGAAGACGAGGTATCTACGTCTAAGCCTGGATCGCACGTCCCAAAGCACCGCCAGTGAACTGTTGATTCCTTCCGCCCCGTGGTCCACCTCCGCCGCGACCACCACCACCACGGCCGCCTCCTCGGCCACCGCGACCGCCACGTCCACCTTGCCTCTCAAAGGCGTTGGCGGTTCCTTGTGTGCGTTGCTCCAGTGTCTTCTCGTTCGACTCGATGAGACCGGATGCCTTGTCTGACAGGCTGAGCGCGAGGGTCTGTAGTCTTGACAGCTCAACACCCTTCCTGAAGATGATGGCGGAGTTGACTTGATCAAGCGCGGCAGCAAGCTCCTCGTGTGAAATCATCTTGGAGACGACTGCGGAGACCTTGCGCTCCGACAGCTCGAACATACCCGCCAGTGTGGTGATGGACAGAGTGTCGTAGAAAGGTGCGTATGTGAAGAGATATGTCCTGAGGCCCTCTTCCTGGATTTGCGAGGAAAGCATCTCCTTGATCTTCTCCGAGTCGGCCATGAGCTCCCAGATCTTGATCGAGTTGATGAACTCAGCTGCCTTCTTCCATTCACCAGCAGACAGTGCCTTGGACGCCTGCATGACGTGGTCGCGGGTGTTCTCAGGAGGACCAGTGAAGATCTGACGCTCATGGTACTCTAAGAGACGGCGGTAGGTCTTGCTGATGACTCGCTTCCTCAGGTCTGGCGAGGAGCCAAGCTGTGCGAGAAGAGGAATCTCGAGCAACATGGAGCAGGTCAGGTAGACGCACTCTAGCAGCTCAAGGTTGATGTGCATGTGGAAAGGAAGTTGCCGTTGACGCTCAAGACGCTCCTGCTCGGGCGAGATCTGGGAGTATCGCTGCATTTGCAGACCTTGTGCGAGCAGCTCCTTCTGCCTGTTGCTACCGCAGATCTCCTGCAGCGAGGTTTGTGCCTCGTAGACAAGACCGGCACGGAACGCGCAGAGACCGACTTGGACCAGCGCGCGGTTGAAGAGAATCTGTGTGTTGACGTCAAAGTTGCTGATGGTCTCTTGCAAATGCGACATGAGCATCATATCGCGAGCCTTGTAGTACTGGTCGTGCAGAGACAGGAAGTAGATCTGGCACAGCATGGCGCGAGCGCGGATGATGCCCTCACTGTTCTGGAAGAGGTATGTGCATAGAGTTTGTACGAGGGAGGCGGTGTCGTTGGAGATGGCGCGGGGGGTGATCTCTGAGTCAAGGCTCTCTGGGATGGCCTTCCAGACGTTGTTCTCAAGGATAGTGATGACTTGGGAGGGCTATGGACGTTAGCATAGAAAGCAGAAAACGGCATGTTTCTTACCTTGAAGTAGACGTGTTCCAATCTCCGCATAACAATGCGGTTCAATGGCTCTTGTGGAAGTTCTAGGCTTGGGTTCTTCTTCATGCTCTCAACGTATACCAGGGTGCGCACCAGCTGAGCGTACAGCAGAGCCTCGTCGGTCAACCGTTCAATGTACTCGGAAGTGTGTGGGTCGATGTGCTGCAGCGAGCGGGTGAGTTCGTCGTCGAGCCTCTCAACGAAAGAGACGACGCTTCCTGGGATGCGGAAGATCTCGCCGGGTGTGATGGTGGGCAGCTTCTCGTCGTCCTCCCACTCCTCGGCGTTCTCGATGACAACAATCTCGTTGCTGTTCTCAAGAATCTCAAGGAGCTTTCCGAATTCCTGGTCGGCCCTGCGTTATGTTAGCAAATGGCAAACATGTCAGGCCAAAGGTACTCACAGCTTCCACTGATCTTGGTGCATGTGGCTGGCAGTACCAGACGTCAAATCGAAGCGCGTCGAGATGAGGGTCAAAAGAACGCGGACCTTTTGGTAGTCATTGACGGCGACGTCGAACAACTTCTCCAGTGTCCGGATGTGCTCCAGCTTGTCCGAGTTCTTGCGACCACGCTGCTCGACAATGGCGCGCAAGTGCTTGAGAATACCCTCAGCCGTGTACAGGACGGCCTTGCCACCAGCTCCGACTGTGATGAAGCCGTCGTCAGTGGCCTCCTCGACGACCTCGGTGCCGAGCTGAGGGATCTTGTTCTTCTTCTTCTTTTCCTTGGGTGCTTGAACAACTTCCTCCTCCTCGCGCATAAAATCCTCCTTGTTCTCCCGGTAGGCGTTGATGTCTTTCTCAAAGTCGCGGTTGTGCTTCTTGATTTTCTGGCGGACAGCGTTGAAACCGCGGCCGTTGACAGCGTTCATCTTCTTGGGTGTGACCTTCTGCTTCTCGTGGGTCTCGAGGACAACCGTCTCGAGGTCGGCAACGGCCTGGATGTACAGCTTGGGGACCTTGCCATCGTTCTGCTTGGTCAGAGTAGGCACCTGGCGGATGAGCTTGTCGAACTCTGTATAACGCATGTCAGCACTGTTTGTGTACCCCGCCACCGTGTTCTATGCCATGCCCAGAGCCACTTCGGAATTGGACGTACGTTCGGAAATGACAGCCCAGTCGTTGATCTTCTGCGCGTTCTCAATGAGCCGGATGGTCGCCTCGAGCTCGTCGAAGCGCTTGTCCTTGGCACTCTTCAGCACCTTGTTCACATCCTCGTCGTCGCTGTCGCTGTCGCTCGAGGCGTCCTTCAAGAAGCGGTTGGCTCCGGTTTCGGATCCAGAGTCGGACGAGTCGTCGTCATCGGATTCCTCGTCCGAGTCCTTGTCGCTGTCTTCCTGCTCAGACTCCTCGTCGTTGGAGTAGAGCTCCTCCTCGCTGGACTCGTCCGAGGAGCTGTCGCTGGCGGCAAAGAATCGCGACGCCATGGTTGCAGTGCTCGAGAGTAGGGATTTGCCGGAGGGGTCGAGGGTAATATGTGTGGCGGGCGCCGTGTGGGTTGACCAGAGTCACTGCCGCCTTGGTTGAACTTTCCGGAGCCGAATTTCGAGCCAGCGCCAAGCCATGACTGTGTGCCCCGCGCCTAACCCTAAGCAGACGCGAACGCCTTCACCACCATACGCTAGGGCAGTCACTCTAACCACTGAAGTTTGCACCACGTCTAAAGCGTTG